TAGACAACAGATTGTTGGATCTTGCTTTTTGATCCAATCAGACCATGTCTTTTGACTGGAGAATTAAATGTTTATATTAAGGCTTATGATTTAGAGGTATTTACTAATTCCTGCATTTTTATCATTTTGGTTTTTTGTTTCCAGGTTGAATCTAGTTTTTCTCATTCTTTACTTTTACCATTGTTTATCTTTGGGTTTTTCTGGTTTACTGAGCTGAATATGCTTGACACTTTCTTGCCTCTCATGGGTTCATCAATTCCCATTGGGAATTTTTTTCTTTCTTGGCCTCTCATGTTTGTGACTATTTTTCTTCCTCTGCTGTGTAAAATACTCCCTTAAGTATCTTCTGCAATGCAGCCTTGTTGGATATGAACTAGGTTTTTATTTCTCCATCAAAACTGAAGAATGGCTTTGCTGGATATAGTCTTCTTTTGGGGAGTTATTCGCTCTCAGAGTTTGAATTATATTGCTCCGTGCCTTCCTGACCTTTAGGGTTTGTGCTGAGAGATCTGAGGTGATTCTTATGTCTTTACCTTTGTATATAAGCTGGCATTTTTCTCTTGTAGCTTTCAGTATCCTTCCTTTGTTCTCTAATTTTGGCATTTTAATTACGACACGTTGTGGAGTTGTTCTTTTCTGGTCATGTCTATTTGGAGTTAGAAATGCCTCCTGTACATGGGCATCTATAGCATTAACTAGATTTGGAAATTTTTCTGCTATGATTTTATTGAGTAGGTTTCCTATGCCTTTAGTTTATATTTTAGCTCCTTCTACCCCATGAATTCTCAGATTTGGTCTTGTGATTATGTCACAGAATTCTTGCATGTTGTAATTATAGGTATTCTTTTTTTCTTGGTAAAATATTTCTTTAATCTTGTCCTCCATCTCTGATATTCTTTCTTCTGCTTGATAATACTGCACACAGTGGGTTTTATTTGATTTATTGAGGTTTTCATTTCTAATATTTCTACTTGGTTTTTCATAATTTCCATTTCCTTGCTGAATTTTCATTCATGTTGCTAAATTTTTTGTCTAGGTCTTCAATTGATTTCCTAACTCTGCTTATCTGCTTATTTGAATCCTCTTCCAGGTCATTCATCATGTTTAACAGCAGGCTTCTGAATTCTTTTACATTTCAGTCAATTCATTACCTTTGGATTCAGTTGTGGAGTTGTTAGAAGGTTTTGGAAGGATAGTAATATCTTGGTTTTTAATATTTAAATATCTACCCTGTGATTTATGTATCTGTTGGACTGTTTCTCTCTTACTGCCTAGCATATATGGAAGAACCTATTATAGCAACAAGGTCAACAATTCAGTAGTAAATCAAATATTTGAATAAGAAATAACTGGGACCCAATCTGCTTTCCCAGTAAGGTTTCATGGGAACAAAAGCCTGGTTTCTAAGTCTGCTTGAAGGTATAAGAATGGAAATTGAGTAATATAAGATATAGCATGGGGAAAGGAGGGAAGCAGAAAGACAGGGAGAGGGAGATACAGGTACAGGAACTAATAATGAGAGGGCATTATATACGGTATAGTTATAACAGAGAAAAGGAGAATCATTTGGGAAATAAGGGGAAATTTTAAAAATAAACATAAATAAGTTCTGACAAACAGAAAACAAATTTTAAAAACAACTAAAAGAAAACAAAATTCTAAGAAACGGTTTATAGTTCTTGCTGAAGAGAAGTGTTGATACTGGCTGGGCATTGTCCAAGTGTCCAGCTTTCTCCTTCAGTCTTTGGTTCACAGGGATCTGCCTGTGTGTTCCCAAAAGACCTATACAAAAAAAAAAAACCTATAAATCACTGAAGAAAGAAATCAAAGACGACATCAGAAGATGGAAGAATCTCCTGGGCTCATGGATTGACAGAATCAGTATTGTGAAAATGGCTATACTACTGAAAGCAATCTATATGTTCAACGAAATTCTCATCAAAATTCCAAAGTCATTTTTCATGGAGATTAAAAAAAATCAATCCTAAATTTCATATGGGATCATAAAAGCCCATATTGATGAACAGACAAATCAATCTTGAGCAAAAAGATCAACACTCGAGGTATCACAATACCTGACTTCAAACTATACTATAGTCATAATAATAAAAGCATCATGGTACTGGCACAAAACAAACTTGAAGATAACAGAACAGAACAGAATAGAAGATCAAGACACAAACCCCTATAGTTATAGCCATTTTGATTTTGACAAAGGAGCTCCAAAACATATGTAGGAGAAAAGACAGCCTCTCCAACAAATGGTGCTGGGAAAACTAGATATCCACATGTAGAAGACTGAAACTAGATCCCATTCTCTCACCCTATACTAGTATCAATTCATAGTGGATCAAAAATCTTAATCTATGACCTGAAACTCTGGAACTACCACAGGGAAGAATAAAGAAAACAATGGATCATATAGGCATAGCCAATAGCTTCCTGAATAGAATTCTAACAGCTCAACAATTTAAGAGAAAGGATTGACAAATGGGACTGCATTAAACTAAAAACCTCCTGTGACAGCAAAGAAAACCATAACTAGATTAAAGAAACAGTTTACAGAATAGGAGAAAATCATTGCCAGCTTCACATCTTAATAACCAGAATATACAGGAAGTTCAGAAAACTAATCTCCCCCAAAATCAACAACCCAATGAATAAATGGGCAAATGAACTGAATAGATAATTCTCAAAATAAGAAATATAAATAGCCAAAAAATACATGAAGAAATGCTCAACATCCCTGGCCAGAAAGGAAATGCAAATCAAATCAACATTGAGATTTCATCTCACTCCACTCAGAATGGCTATCATCAAAAACACAAATAACATCAAATGCTGATGAGGATACAGGAGAAAAAGGAACCCTTATACACTATGGGTGGGGATGTAAATTAGTGCAACCACGATGGAAAGCAGTATGGAGGTTCCTTAAAAATAAAAATAGAACTACCATATGATCCAAATATACCATCTCTAGGCATATATCCAAAGGAATATAAGTCAGGTTACAATAGAGACTCTTGCACCGTGTTTACTGCAGTACTATTAACAATAGCCAAGCTATGGTAACAGCCTAGATGCTCTATGACTGATGAATGGATAAAAAAAATGAGGCATCTATATATGTATACATACACACATACAATAAAGTATTATTCAGTCACAAAGAAGTATGCAATCATGCTGTTTGCAGATAAATGGATGGAACTGGAGATCATCATCTTAAGCAAAAATAAGCCAGGTCAGAAGGACAAAAGTTGCATGTTTTCTCTCACATGTGGATACTAGACCTGAAAGATAAAGGTATATATGAATAAATACATGGCCATACACACACACACAGAATATGACTGGAATACTGGGACTGTTTGAGGGGACTGGGAGGAGTTGGAAGAGGAAAAGAGAATGACAGAGAAGAAATACTATTGAAACACATTGCATCTGTGTATGAAGATGGCATAACAGAGCACAGTGAAAGCTGTTGAATAATAGAGGGCAAGGGGATACAGAAAGAGAGAGCAATAGAGGGGGGTCAATATGATTAAAGTAAAATATATGCATGTCGAATGTACGACAGTGAAACCCCTTTGAATAATTAATATTCACTTAAGAAAATGAAGGCTAGGAATGTAAAACAGGTCCTGGTGGCAGTGGGGATGAGGGGGAGCAGGGTGAAAGAAGAGGGTGAATATAGTCGATGTATTTTGTATACTTGTTGAAAATAGAACAGTGAAACCAGTTGAAATTATTTTAAGAAGTGGGGAAGGGGGAATGAGGGAGAATAATGTAGGGGGTAAATCTAATCAAGGACTACTGTAAACACATATGGAAATGTCACAATGAAATCTCCCTTTACAAATAATATATGCTAATAAAAATGGGGAAAAGAAAGATAAGAAAATTCATGAAGGTCACGAAAAGTACCTGGGGCTGTAAGGAAATTGGATGAAGACAAGCAGGGAATAGTCACTAAGGATGTTAACACTGGCACAGGAAAAAGAGGGTAATGAAACACATTGAGAGATGACTAGGAAATTCACAAAGTCAAAGTTGGCTGAATGTAGTACCTGAACTCAATGGGCAGATAGGAGTACTTGAATAGAAAGAACTACAAATCTCTTAGGGGAGCAAATGCTTTCACTAGCAAATAAAGATCTAAAGCAAGAGTCACAGGACATTGGTGAGTGACCTGGCTATAAGATTTAAAATAACAGCCTATTAAAACCCTGATTCTAGTGTAAACCCAGCTCTTGCTAAGTACTGAAGGAACACTTGCAACACCTGCTTGTTCGTGGATTATGCTGTGCCATCTCTTTGTATCACAGACTTTGTGTCTTCTTTCACAAACTGAGAAAATCTAGAAACAATAGGAAAAATATGGATACCCAAAAAGCACCCTCCAGAGTGGCTCAGTGCTGTTCAATGCATTAAATACTCAAGTACCTTTAAAGAATCACTCCTCTCTAGAAGAACATGCCACATTCTCTCCACAAGGAATGCTGTATCAGAGACCTAACCTTGGAGAAAGACTGCTTTATTTCTTAACTACCTGTTCTACCCACTCTACCTCATATCTATTCCCTCCTTTTCCCTGGCCATTACCCCTATAGTATATCTAACATTTTATCATGAATTTCCCCGTGTAGCTCAATATACCATCAGCTTCTCCCAGCTTTTAACCTTACTTCTCCTCCATTCAAGGTTAAGTCTCATATTAACAATGGCCATGCAAGGCCAGCCTTGGAATGACCCTTCCTTCTGTATAATGCCACGGCCCACCTGTGATTATCTTTAGAAAAGAAATATAATACTCTTCTCCCAGTCTCCACCCACCTCACCATCCTCTTTCCTGGGACATTGGTAAAGACCTCCTTCAGCAAGAATATTACCAGAAACCTTTGTGTTTGGGATTTGCCTAGGCCCACTTTGTTACACTTTCCTAAGGGTTATTCAGCTAAGACTACAAGACAGCCATGGGGTTAAATCTAACTTACCAGCATAACTTGGCTGATTAACATTTCCACCTTGTTTTATACAATGGCGAACAAGATCAGTATCATCATGCAGAGCAGCCCTATACAGCAAGTTCTCTCCAAAACCATTTCTCCGGTTAATGTTAGAAAGAGACATTTTATTCATCTTCATTTTTTCTGAAATGAGGGAATGAATAAATGAAAAGACCTTATTTGAAAATCAGGAGGACTAAAAGTAATAGGACAAATCTAGTCAACACTGGAAGTGAGGTATATTATAAAACAGTGTTTCATCCACTAACCCAATTATGTTACCTATATACAAAAGGGAGAAAAAGATGTTATTTATTTTTTAATATTTGTAGATTTAAAATCATGATACACAGTATATACTAACTAAAACTCCACAAAACATGCATACATGAGAAGACTAAGAAGCTATTTTTTCAAAAGTTCTGGCAAAAGGATTATTCAATTCTAGAACTACATATTATCTGCCATAGTTTGAATCTTGACTATCTCCCAAAGTCCTTTTGTTAAAGGCTTGGTCCCCAGGGTGGTACTACTGAGAGGTAATAAAGCTTTTAAGAGGTGGGGCCTAGCAGGAGGTATTTAGGTCTTTGGAGGCATATCCCCAAGGGAATAGTGGGACCCCCCCCCAGCCAGCTTCTCCAGCTCCCTCTCTTTTGCTTCCTGCACACTATATAGGCAGTTTTGTTCCACCAAGTACTCCTGCCATGATAGGAGGGCCAATAAATCATGAACTGGGATTCCAAAACTGCAAGCCAAAATAAACCATTTCTCTTCATAAATAGATTATCTCAGGTATTTGCTATAGTACACATTATCAAAATTTATAAAAAGCTATGGTAACAAATGTCTTATAAAATCATAAGAGTATCTCAGAGGCATATAAAGACGATACAAAAGTAATCCTGGCAAGACCAGATAAGGAAATGCTAAATTGGTTTCTCTGCTAAAAGTAACTATCATAGAATCAGAGAATAATGATGATCTTAATCTTTACAATAAGTTTGATTTCTTAAACCAGGAAATGTGTAATTAAAATCGTTTTCTAGATCATACATACCAAGAATCAATTCTCTTTTGTGCCCCCTAAAATGCTGAATCTTTTAATTTAAATGCTCCAAATCCTGTCAATTCTGCGGAGTAATAATCACATGGATTTCCTGGATTTCAGGATAGTTTTGAAGATAGCTTCTCAAATTTTGGTCTAGTTAACTTGCCCTATCTTAAAATCTCATAAAAGTGACTGGGTACTGCAACATCTTTTTTAATGGACCATAATTTAACTGCTTTGTTTGGCCTTCTATTTGACTCCTCCCATTCATTCTTACTATAAAATACACCTAACTGCTGAGTCTACTTTCCTTCCTATGCTCCAGAGCACAAGTAATTCTTCTCCCACCAGATAATATGTGTTTACCAAGAAATAGTCCTGCTTATTCCCAAAAGTGTCTGTACCAGTGGCACTTGCTATTATAATTATCTAATTTATTAAAAAATAAAAAGCAAACTAAGAAGCAAAGAATCAAAAATTTCCCAATGAAAACTAAGTTGTGGAAGACATTTACTTCCAGTCATGACTAAGTAACTGTGTGACTTGTCCTCTGAGGGAAAACAACTAGGAAACTAGACAAAATGTGTGTGGGGGACTTATTTTTCAAACACTGGAAAGCTGGAAGTTCAGATTTATTACCCTGAGTGCACATAAAGACAATAAGCCCTAAAATCATCCTGAGGTACTGTCTGGATACACTTTCTAAAGCATAGTGCAGGGCAGGGGGCAACAGTAAGATGATCTTGTCTATCTGAGGAGATACACATTAGAGTCTGGAGAGGCTATCTATGGTTTCTAGAATTTGCAGGGAAGGGCACCAGCAGTGAGAGAATAGAGAAAAGGTGCCAGAAACTTATATAAAGGGTTCCTTGAGTTATTATTTAAATAAACTGCTCATGTATATGGGTGAGTTTCCATGAGGCTGAACAAGAACTACTGAGGAACTATAATGACTGTCAAAGTTCACACTGGGCTGGGAGGCATTCACCCTCCCACCAGCCTTAGTAAAGAGAACTTGCAGAATCACTAGAGAATTTGAGACTCCATGACTCCATGACTCCAAGGGTCATGTCTCAGTAGCAGGGCTAAACTAGCCCTAAAGTAAATGCTACACTATGTCTGTCTAACAAGATCTTTAGCAAAACACTGAAAGGATTACGTTAATCTTCCAGTAACTTAATTATCAGCCAAAACAAAATTACATCCCTGGCCCTCAAAACCTACTTTAAAAAAATATACTCAGGGTGGGCATGGTGATAAACACTTGTAATTCCAGCTATGTAGGAAGGTGAGGCTGGGAAGATTGCAATTAGGCCAACCCAAGCAAAAAGTCAGTAAGACCCCATCTCAACAATAAGTGTGATCCTGGTCATGTTAGTCCTTAACTTTTTCTTTTTCAGAGTTGTTTTGCTACTCTAGGTCCTTTGCATTTATAAATGGACTAGCTTATGAATTTCTTTCTTAAAAAATGTATGGATTTTGACTGGGATTACATAGGGTCCACAAATAAATTTAGAGGTGAATTCTTAACAATTTTCTTTTCTTTTTTTTCAGTACTGGGGTTTGAACTCAGGGCTTCACGCTTGCTAGGCAGGTGCTCAACCACTGGAGCCACTCCACCAGCCCTAACAATATTGAACTTTCTGGTTGATGAAGAAGGTACATCTCTCCATTTCTCCCCAACACATTTTCTTTGATTTCTTTAGAAATATTTCAGAGGTTTTAAAGTATTTGTCTTTTATATCTTTGCAAGATTCATCCCTAAATATTTTATGTTTGATGTTATTTTTTTTTCATTTTTCTTTTATTATTCATATGTGCATACAAGGCTTGGTTCATTTCTCCCCCCTGCCCCCACCCCCTCCCTTACCACCCACTACACCCCCTCCCGCTCCCCCCCCTCAATACCCAGCAGAAACTATTTTGCCCTTATCTCTAATTTTGTTGTAGACAGAGTATAAGCAATAATAGGAAGGAACAAGGGGTTTTGCTGGTTGATATAAGGATAGCTATACAGGGCATTGACTCACATTGATTTCCTGTGCGTGTGTGTTACCTTCTAGGTTAATTCTTTTTGATCTAACCTTTTCTCTAGTTCCTGGTCCCCTTTTCCTATTGGCCTCAGTTGCTTTAAGGTATCTGCTTTAGTTTCTCTGCATTAATGGCAACAAATGCTAGCTAGTTTTTTAGGTGTCTTACCTATCCTCACCCTCCCTTGTGTGCTCTCGCTTTTATCATGTGCTCATAGTCCAATCCCTTGTTGTGTTTGCCCTTGATCTAATGTCCACATATGAGGGAAAACATACGATTTTTGGTCTTTTGGGCCAGGCTAACCTCACTCAGAATGATGTTCTCCAATTCCATCCATTTACCAGCGAATGATAACATTTTGTTCTTCTTCATGGCTGCATAAAATTCCATTGTGTATAGATACCACATTTTCTTAATCCATTCGTCAGTGTGGGGCATCTTGGCTGTTTCCATAACTTGGCTATTGTGAATAGTGCCGCAATAAACATGGATGTGCAGGTGCCTCTGGAGTAACAGTCTTTTGGGTATATCCCCAAGAGTGGTATTGCTGGATCAAATGGTAGATCGATGTCAGCTTTTTAAGTAGCCTCCAAATTTTTTTCCAGAGTGGTTGTACTAGTCTACATTCCCACCAACAGTGTAAGAGGGTTCCTTTTTCCCCATCCTCGCCAACACCTGTTGTTGGTGGTGTTGCTCATGATGGCTATTCTAACAGGGGTGAGGTGGAATCTTAGTGTGGTTTTAATTTGCATTTCCTTTATTGCTAGAGATGGTGAGCATTTTTTCATGTGTTTTTTGGCCATTTGAATTTCTTCTTTTGAGAAAGTTCTGTTTAGTTCACTGCCCATTTCTTTATTGGTTCATTAGTTTTGGGAGAATTTAGTTTTTTAAGTTCCCTGTATATTCTGGTTATCAGTCCTTTGTCTGATGTATATTGGCAAATATTTTCTCCCACTCTGTGGGTGTTCTCTTCAGTTTAGAGACCATTTCTTTTGATGTACAGAAGCTTTTTAGTTTTATGAGGTCCCATTTATCTATGCTATCTCTTAGTTGCTGTGCTGCTGGGGTTTCATTGAGAAAGTTCTTACCTACTAACTCCAGAGTATTTCCTACTCTTTCCTGTATCAACTTTAGAGTTTGTGGTCTGATATTAAGATCCTTGATCCATTTTGAGTTAATCTTGGTATAGGGTGATATACATGGATCTAGTTTCAGTTTTTTGCAGACTGCTAACCAGTTTTCCCAGCAGTTTTTGTTGAAGAGGCTGCTATTTCTCCATCGTATATTTTTAGCTCCTTTGTCAAAGATAAGTTGCTCATAGTTGTGTGGCTTCATATCTGGATCCTCTATTCTGTTCCACTGGTCTTCATGTCTGTTTTTGTGCCAGTACCATGCTGTTTTTATTGTTATTGCTTTGTAATATAGTTTGAAGTCAGGTATTGTGATACCTCCTGCATTGTTCTTTTGACTGAGTATTGCCTTGGCTATTCGTGGCCTCTTGTGTTTCCATATAAATTTAACAGTAGATTTTTCAATCTCTTTAATGAATGTCATTGGAATTTTGATGGGAATTGCATTAAACATGTAGATTACTTTGGGAGTATCGACATTTTTACTATGTTGATTCTACCAATCCATGAGCATGGGAGATCTCTCCACTTTCTATAGTCTTCCTCAATCTCTTTCTTCAGAAGTGTATAGTTTTCCTTGTAGAGGTCTTTCACATCTTTTGTTAGGTTTACACCTAGGTATTTGATTTTTTTTGAGGCTATTGTAAATGGAATTGTTTTCATACATTCTTTTTCCGTTTGCTCATTGTTAGTGTATAGAAATGCTAATGATTTTTCTATGTTGATTTTATATCCTGCTACCTTGCTATAGCTATTGATGATGTCTAGAAGCTTCTGAGTAGAGTTTTTTGGGTCTTTAAGGTATAGGATCATGTCGTCTGCAAATAGGGATATTTTGACAGTTTCTTTACCTATTTGTATTCCTTTTATTCCTTCTTCTTGCCTAATTGCTCTGGCTAGGAATTCCAGTACTATGTTGAATAGGAGTGGAGATAGTGGGCATCCTTGTCTGGTTCCTGATTTTAGAGGGAATGGTTTCAGTTTTTCTCCGTTAAGTATAATGCTGGCTGTAGGTTTGTCATATATAGCTTTTATAATGTTGAGGAACTTTCTTTCTATTCCTAGTTTTCTTAGAGCTTTTATCATGAAATGGTGTTGGATCTTATCAAAGGTTTTTTCTGCATCTATTGAGATGATCAAGTGGTTTTTGTCTTTGCTTCTGTTAATGTGGTTTATTACGTTTATTGATTTTCGTATGTTGAACCACCCCTGCATCCCTGGGATGAAGCCTACCTGGTCGTGGTGAATAATCTTTTTGATGTATTGCTGAATTCGATTTGCCATTATTTTGTTGAGGATTTTTGCATCAATGTTCATTAAGGAGATTGGCTTATAGTTCTCCTTTCTGGAGGTGTCTTTGCCTGGTTTTGGGATAAGTGTAATACTGGCTTCATAAAATGTGTTTGGCAGTTTTCCTTCCCTTTCTATTTCATGGAACAGTTTAAGGAGGGTTGGCATCAGTTCTTCTTTAAAGGTCTGATAGAATTCAGCAGAGAATCCACCAGGTCCTGGACTTTTCTTTTTGGGGAGACTCTTGATTGCTGCTTCAATTTCATTTTGTGTTATAGGTCTATTCAGGTGATTAATTTCCTCTTGGTTCAGTTTTGGATGATCATATGAAATCTGTCCATTTCTTTTAGATTTTCAAATCTATTTGAATATAGGTTCTCAAAGTAGTCTCTGATGATTTCCTGGACTTCCATGGTGTTTGTTGTTATCTCCCCTTTTGCATTCCTAATTCTACTAATTTGGGTTTTTTCTCTCCTCATTTTAGTCAGGTTTGCCAGGGGTCTATCGATCTTGTTTATTTTTTCAAAGAACCAACTTTTTGTTTCATTAATTCTTTGTATGGTTTTTTTGGTTTCTATTTCATTGATTTCAGCTCTTATTTTTATTATTTCTCTCCTTCTATTTGTTTTGGGATTTGCTTGTTCTTGTTTTTCTAGGAGTTTGAGATGTATCATTAGGTCATTGATTTGGGATCTTTCAATCTTTTTAATAGATGCACTCATGGCTATAAACTTTCCTCTCAAGACTGCCTTAGCTGTGTCCCATAGGTTCCGGTAGGTTGTGTTTTCATTTTCATTGACTTCTAGGAACTTTTTAATTTCCTCTTTTATTGCATCGATGATCCATTCTTCATTAAGTAATGAGTTATTTAGTTTCCAGCTGTTTGCATGTTTTTTGTCTTTACTTTTGTTGTTGAGTTCTACTTTTACTGCTATGTTTGATGTTATGATACTGGTTTTCAAATTTCAGTTGTTTGATATCAGGACACAGAATTAGTGTATCTTCTATCTTACAACTTTGTTAAACTAAATTATAATAGGTTTCATTATAGATTCCATTAGATTTTCTACATAGATGATTATGTTGTTTGTGAATAAAGATAGTTTTAATTCAGCCTTTCAAATCTGGATTTTTCCTTTTTCTTCCCCTGATTAAACTACAAAGTTCAAGAGATATTCCTGTCTAATTCCTGATCTGAGGAGGAAAGCATTTGGTCTTTCATCATTAAATATAATAGATATGATTTTTGCAGATGTCCTTTGTCAGGTTGAGGAAATTCTCTACTCCTGGTTTACTGAGAGTTTTCACTAGAAATGGATGTGTGGTGCAGTCTATATCTATTGAAATAATCCATATAGTTTTTCTTTTTAGAGTATTAATATAATAAGTTAGAGTGATTGATTCAATTGTAAAACCAACAATGCATTTATGGGATAAACACCATTTGGTCTTGGTATGTAATATTGGATTTGATTTGGTAAAATTTTGTTTAGAATTTTTGCATCTACATTAAAGATATTAGTCTGTAGTTTTCTGTTCTAGTAATGTCTTTGATTTGGACAGAAATTCAATGGTGGCCTCATAATAAGCTGGGAAGTACTTCCTTATCTTTGATTTTTTGGGGGACAGCTTGTGTAGAACTAGTATTATTTCTCCCTCAAATAACTGGTAGAATTCACCACTGAAAATGTTAATATTGAGAATTCTTTTTTTGTGATACTTGGGTTTGAACTCAGGGCCTTGCACTTGCTAGGCAGGCACTCTAGCAACTGAGCCACACCCCCAGCCCTGAAAATGTTAATGTTGAAATCTGTCCTCTCCACATAAGGAGGACTCTCCATAGAATGCCTACTCCCACAGGACTGGATTCAGGGGTATGGGTGTTTATGTGCATTATTTTTCTATGAACTACCTGTTTATGCTCCTTTCCCATGTTCTTGTTCTTTTTGCTTTTTTATTCTTGAGTATTAAAGCTTTTACTTATTACGCTTTTGATATGCAAGAAAGGTATACTACTTTAATGTATATAATTCAGTGAGTTTGGGGATAAGTATATAACTGTGAAACCATCATTACCACAAAGGCCATAAATATATCCACCTTGTTCTTTGTCCTTACTGTTTCATGAGAATTTTTTGTATGCTAATTGCAATTAACCCATGTTCAATGTTACTAATATTTCTTCTCTGTATGATGTTTGATCTTCTTTGTGGTATGCTTCTATATAATTTTAAACATCTATAGTCAATTTTATCATTTTTCTCCCTCCTGGCTCCTTTCTGGGTTTGAATCACTCTTTAAAAAGACTCCCAAGCGTTTGATGTCCCCACTCCAGAGGAACTAATACAAAAACCTTAAAGTGACAGGTCAACATGAGAAGGGGATCAGGAACCAATGTAAAGATCAGTTAGAGATGAATCATCATGGATTGTGACACATTTGTACATGAAAGCAATGCTAGGAATCTCTCTGTATAGCTATTCTTAACTCAACTAGCAAAAACACTTTGTCTTCCTTATTATGCCTATGTCTTCTCTTCAACAAAATTAGAGATAAGAACAGAACAGGTTCTGCCTGGAAGTGAGGGGGAGAGTGTGGGGGAGGGGCAGGGGGGAGAAATGACCCAAAACAATATACGCACATGTGAATAAATGAATGATAAAAAATTAAAAAATAAAAATAAAAAAGTAGCAGAAAAAAAAGACTTCCACACCAAGATTATAAAAAGATATATACTTGTGTTTTCTTTTAGAATTTTTTTCCAGTTAAATCTTTGATCAACCTGGCATTCCATTCAGAGTAAGGACAGTTATAAGGACCCCATTTTGTGTTTTTCACAAAATTGCTTAGTCCTTCTTTTGACCACCAAATTCAGATGTCATCTTTATCACATTATCTGTCTCATATTCCCATTGTATCTAGTTTCCGACTCCGTTTCCGACCTGGGCCGGTTCACCCCTCCTTAGGCAACCTGGTGGTCCCCCGCTCCCGGGAGGTCACCATATTGATGCCGAACTTAGTGCGGACACCCAATCGGCATAGCGCACTGCAGCCCAGAACTCCTGGACTCAAGCGATCCTCCTGCCTCAGCCTCCCGAGTAGCTAGGACTACAGGCGCGCACCACCGCGCCCGGCTTGTATCTAGTTTCTATATCTAAACTTTCTATTCTATTTCATTATTGGCTAGTGCCATGCCAGCATCAAATTAATTTCAATGGCTTCCTAGTGTGTTTCATATTATATAGTACAGGTTCCTACCTTCCCTTTGCTTTCATTTTTCAGAATTTTTCTCATAGTTTTTCGTATTTACTTTTCCAGCTGAAATTCAGTATGATTTTGTATCATTTTCATAGCTACCCTCCAGCCCTTTAAAAATCAATAAATGAAACAAAACAATGAACAAACAAAAATCTACTTTTGTTATGATTAAGATCTTATGCATTTATTGAGTAATTTAGAGAGTAGTTAGTTTCTTATAAAGCTGAATCTTTCTAGTCAAGAAAAAGGTTTATCTTTTCATTTATTTGAGTTCAATGTCCCTCAGCAAAATTTTTAACTGTTTTTATGACATAAGGTATAACATAATTCTTATTGGTTATATAAGTAGATATTTTCTCTTTTTTGTAACTATAAAAGGATATTCTCATATTGCTTAACTAGCTAATTCTTACATATATATAATGTATTAATATTATCTTCTGGATTATTGAATACTTCTAACGTTTTATTTTGAGGTAATTTCAAACACAAAGAAGTTGCAAAAATAGAACAATAGGGCTAAAAATATAGCTCAGTGGTAGGGTGCTTACCTATTATGTTCAAAACCCAGATTCAATCATCAGCACAATAAAAAAAAATTAAAGGATTCACACTCATTGTGATATTTTGCCATCCCTTTTTATAAATACACATACACATAGCACATATAGGTGGTGATATAGATACAATGACTAACTTCCATAAACCATGCTCTTTTACCACTAATGTTTTCTAAGAATAAGGACATTCCCTTACATAACCACAGTACTATCATCAAATTCATAAAATTTAACACTGATACAATCTATAGTCTTTATTTCAATTTCACCAATTTTTTCACTGTTATTTTTAACCAGTATTTTTAGATTCTTTCATTATATCTGAGAGTTTTTAGTTTAATCTTTTGGGTTTTATAGAAGTGCAGAAATAAGAATTAAAAACAATAATAAATTTGCCTTATTCTTTCTTTTACTTTATTGGTATGCTTTCTCATAGCTTTTTGTTACATTGGTCATATGTAAACTAAATTTGAAGAGTTCTGTAACTACTCTCTCCAAAATGGAAGGATGGAAAAAATCAGTCTATGAGCTGATTCAGGATCAAATACCCATTATGATACTAGCTGTTGTGATCTGGGGAAAAGTCTTACCATCTCTGAAATTCAATTTCCTCATCAGTAAAATGAGAAACCTGACATAAATAATCTCTGACTCTCTTCTACCAGAATGCTATTTCTACAAATTAAATGAAGTAATATTAAAAATATGCCTCACCATTTTTTACTGTACATCGTTCATTTTTCTTGATCTGTTCACTCTTGAATCTGGATGAACGCATATTCATTCTTTTACCTTCAATCAAGACAGGACCCTGTATTCTTGAAAAATAAATGAATTTTTAAATTGTTTTAGTGTTTTCTACAAGCATTCATGGAGAATCATACCAAATTATGATTAAAGTTTTAAAACTCAAAGATATTTTACTTACTCAAATGGCAAGACAATTTTAAACATGGAAATGGATACCATGTAAGTTGCAGATAGTTTTGTAACAGACATGCTCACGCCAGTCTGCATGGCTTCTAGCAGCCTCTTTGTGCTTCTTTCTTCTAGATGTAGTCACCTACACATGTGAGAATTCTGAACCCCCTGCCCCTCTTTCCCTAAGTTGGCATGCCAGTATCCACTCTATTCACCTCACAGGGAAAAAAGGGTCAGGTTGTTAGCAAGAAAAAGGGGCTTGCTATGTGGTATGGCACTGATCAAAACTGAAGATAATAAAAAAGCAACAACATAAAAAAAAATAAAGCTTTTAACTCAGGGGTAATTACCCATTAGGCCTACAGAGAATGATATAATTTAATAGCATACCTGAACTTCTCAGTTGAAGATTTATTATTTATTCGATCCTCACAGCAGCCAAATATTTCTGGTAAAATCTTTTCTGTCATTTTACACATGTTATCTCTATGCTTTGCCTCTCTGCTTACTTTCCGTTTTTCCAGTCTAGATGATCTCCTTAACACACATGGAGTTTTCTTTCCAGAGGCATTTCCCAGAGGATTTGAATTTCCCTTATCATTCATTGGCTCACAAGATGTGACATTTTCATGAGCCAAAGTTTGCAATCCAAACAAGTTTGGGTCTTCTAATGTCTGTAAAGATGTAAGTACATCCACAAATAATTACAACATAGAAAAAATTTTAAACAGAAGAAATTAAATTTTATCTTGTCCTTTGATAAAACTAAAATGCCTCTAAGATGAAAGTATAAGAATTCATAAAAATATGTGAACAAAATGAAAAATTTTGCAAGAATTGATGTAATAAAGGTCAATGCAAATTTAAAAGCTTTAAAAAATCATAAGTACAAATGACCTTGATCAATATTCTTCCTGAACACTCAAGAGAAAACCTAAGGTCACTCTTGGTGCTTTAATTTTGTAGGAAATAGATAAAACAGAATGATGAGATACCTGTAACAACATACTAGACCAGATCAATAGTCTACTCAGCCTAATATCTGTTATTTGACAAAAGCAGTGAGTGATATTTCATGGCACAAGGTGGTACATAACTTCCATAACATTATTAACAGTACATCCTGAATTGCTCTAACTTGCCCTTAATAATCCATTATGGATTTAACTTCCATGAAGATATTTATTTTTATACATATCATCAAAATCTTCTTGAATTTAATTATGTATTCAGCTTCCAAAGCTTCTCATGGTAAAAAGTTTTATATTTTTATCACAGCTAGGTAAGAGTATTTAAGTTGATCTGTTCTAAGTAAATCTCATTTCTACTTTTAAAAGGGTTTCTTGCCAGGTGCTGGTGGCTCACGCCTGTAATCCTAGCTACTCAGCAGGCAGAGATGAGAAGGATCACAGTTCGAAGACAGTCTGGACAAATAGATTGACAGCCCCTATTTCAAAAAACCCGTCACACACACACAAAAAAGGGCTGGTGGAGTGGCTTAAGGTAAAAGCCCTGATTTCAAGCCCCGGCACTTCAAAAAACAAAAAAGTGGGGGGGTGGTTTCTTTATTTTAAAGACATGCTGAATTTGTGCTTATTTTATCAACACTAATCATAATTTCCTACATTTTACTCATATTCCTTCTTCTCAGATTAGAACACTACCATGTTTACTCTTCATTCTTATCTCTATGATTAATGTTCCTTTTTCTGGACTTTTTTTCCTAGACCTATTGCGTCTGTCTGAGATATACTGACCAGACCCGCACACAATATTATCCCCGGTGTTGTAGATGGTGCAACATGAACTCAGAATTAGAATGTTATCTCTACCTCTTCCCAAGGATGTGCATAGGAACATTTTGGTAGCACCCAAAAGAAAAAATAAAGAAGAGAATTCAAATGACTATCATTAGTAAGTCAGTTAAGTAAATTAAACTAAATATAGTTTAATATGTACACCGTAATATCAGTTGGCAAGTTAAAAGATTTAAGTAGTGTTACATTTCCTGACACTAAAAGATAACCAAGATATATTATTAAATTTAAAAATTAAATTATGGACAGGTGTGGTAACTCAAGCTTGTAATCCTATCTACTTGGGTGGCAGAAATCAAGAGGACTGCAGTTTGAGGCTAACCCCAGCAAAAAGGTCTCATCTCAAGAGAAAAAGCTGGGTGTGGTGGCATGTGCCTATCATCCTAACTATATATAACACAGGAAGATCATGGTCCAAGCCAACCTGGGCATAAAGTCAGACCCTATCTCAAAAATAACCAAAGCAGAAAGGGTAGGGGGGTGTGGCTTGAGTGGTACAGCATCTGCCTGGTAAGCATGAGGCCCTGAGTTCAAACCCCAGTACTCCCTCCCCACAAAAAAGTTGCAAAGCATCTTGTATAATATAATCTCATGTGAGTAAAATAAATTCACACAGAATAAAACAAATAATTAGAGAAAGTGTACCAAGCTGTTAATGTTATTATCTAGAGAGTGCAACTGTGGGGAACTTTTTGTTACTATATCATTACACAATTCTTTTTTTTTTTCATTACACAATTCTACAATGTTTTTAAAGACAGAATGTATAACTCAGACTAGCCTCAAACTCAAAATTCTGCTGCCTCAGGCTCCCAAGTGCTGGGTACTATAAAACTGGCTTTGAATTTTTTTCATAATGAGGACACAAGTTGTCAACATGGAAAAGGAACTTGGCTCCTGGTAGGCCACTGCAAGACCTCCAAGAATTCTAAACCCCAAGCATTATGTCTGGCAGTTTTTTCAGACACAGAAAGCAAAATTCTGCTTGAACTAGGCATAATTTTACCCTCATCAGGCAGCCCAAATTGCATACATCCTTTGTCCAATTATAAATTAATGTGAGGTATTACATATCTACTATGTACCCGGGTAAATATAGTAATTTTGGGGGGAAAGAGAGAAAATTCAGTAAAGAATTCTTTCCTTCTTATATACAAGCAAATTAATGATATTCCTTCTCAGATCCATTGGGGAGAAATATATTTTAACTTTCTAACTTCTTGAAAACTCTTATCCAAGAACTTTATCCAAATTCTTTCAAAGTTACAAAGTATCTTCTAGATAATATTTGAATTTAACACAATGAAGACTTTTTAAAGGTCACTATAAAAGGCAAAATCAGGCTCATACTTGCTTCACTGATAGATGGTGGTCCTGCAGCCTAACTAACTTAGAACCTTGTTCAAATGGTGAAGTAGAGCAATGAGACTCAATATTCACCTCTGCTATTTGTGTATAATCTTCATCATTCTGAGATATATCAGGCTCCACTTCAAGACATTCATTTCCACCACTAAGACTGCCACTTGCTCTTTTCTATGACAGATGGGTTCCATCTTGGCTTCTGAAAATGTGTTGATAGCTGCCAACAACTCAGGCGGCAATGCATCATCCTTTGCGTTTCCTAGTAAATCTCTACAGCACGACAATGCATTCGAAGGAACTGACATGGGACTCAGGGAGTCACTCAGTGGGTTCATCGACTCGCCAGGATCAAAATCCTTCTTTATTTCAAACAGCCTTTCTTCTTCAGTACTTTCTGGAGATGTCAGTAACCTTTCTAAGGTAGATACAAATGTTTCCAGTGAGCTTTCTTCATCTTTGGTTTCTTTAGAAGTCATGGTCAATGTGACTTCCTTTCCAGGCTCAGAAGATGTATTTAATGCTAAGATCTCTGACTCTATTAATGATTTCTCCTTTACAGCAACCGTATTTGATAATGAAGCAGCAGTACCTGACAGAAGGCTAATTTCAGGGGAGTCTCTGTCTTCACTTAGTTCCTATGTATCCAAACAGAAATTCCATTATAGCAAATACAAGAAAACATCTAAAATTAAAATTTTATACTTTTACAATTCATTTTGTTTGCAAGTTACTCTTTTTTTTTTTTATTTTTGCAAGTTACTCTTTAAGCTTCTTTTACCAACTGTCTTCCTCCTCCATAAATAAAAAGAATATTCCTTACTACTTTCCTATGCCAAATCACTAATAACTGAATACATGACTAAACATTTAATAGTGGATTAAGAGTAACATTGGCTATACCATATTCACAGATGGTAAATTATCTGTTCAACTAAGTTTAAATTCTCTGTTCTAAAAGAAGAGACAAAGAAGCTGTGATAGATTATCAGATGATCACAAAAGTTCACAGCAGTTACTTATAAAATCCTTTGACAAATATTTATGTTTAGTTTAATTAACTAGGAATAAAATTAGTGTCATTTCACCTTCTTACTCCCTAACTTTGTGTGAATATGAACACAAATGTGAAACAAACCGACCAAAAGACAGGTCAAAGGGGAGAAAGGAGGAGAAATAAGGGTGCAATTCTGTGTAAATTTTATGGCCACTAGTTATAAACTAATGGCTCTGAGTTGTGATTGTTTTAAACAAAAAAACCCATAAAATTTACATTTCTAAGTGACTACTTTTTTTCAAAGATATCACCTTAATAAGTTATATCTGCTCTTACAGTACTTCTAATGCTCAAAATACTATTAGTATCTCCCTTTTGAAATCAGTTAAAGTTATTTAAGAAAATAATATACTTTAAAGGCACTGACATTTGTTCCAACAATAAAAAAAACCTAATAATTTGCTTGACTTTAAGTAACAGAATGGGTTTCAAAGACTTTAGCTATATCCAAATTTCAAATCCACCACCTCTCTGGCAGGATGCACTATTATTTTTCAGCCTTCTAACATTCTGTTGATTTTTTTTTTTTTTTTTTGGTGATACTGGGGTTTGAACTCAGGTCCTCATGCTTGCTAGGCAGGCACTCTATCACTTGAGCCATTCCACCAGTCCTTCTGTTCTGACTTGAATCAAGGAAATAAAAACATTTTACTCTGTCTTCTTTTTTCTGCCACCATTAATCTGCTTTGGATATAGTGTACACAACTTAAGAGGATATATTTACTTATTAGTAATGCTAACTGTAGTTTGCTCAGAAAGATAAATGTGGAAGAAATTTAAGAATTATATCCTACCCATTCTTTTTTACATTGCATCTCAAGGCCTCTCTTCTATTTGAAGTCCTTACATCTACTAAATTCAAGGCACTAAGTATAATTACAAAAGTATCATGAAACCTATTGTCTTGCAAGAATAAGTTGTCAGGGAGGGGGAAGCAATGGAGTTTTCATTTGCTTGGAAAATGCTTGGTGAAGTAAAATCAAATCAGGTGCTTTACCACAGGACTTTTCAGAGTATACGCCTTATAAATCTCTAAGGAGACTTTAGGGCACAGTGTTCTCCAAACGTTTTTGTCCAAAAGATATTTTTCTCAGATTATCTATTAATTTCAAAGGGTGGAAATGATTTAGGAAATACTCATATAGTACTACAGTGAGAAGTGAATGTTAGCAAGGGAGCAATTACTTTGGACCATTCCAGAGTCATCTGAAACACATCCAGAGACAAGAAAGATCTTGAGCCAGAAATTAAAGATTGTGAAGTAGTGAAAGAAGGAAGGAACACAAATCTATCCAAAACCAACTAGGTGCCAGACACCATGAACCATGATTGCTCTCAGTCCTCACAATAACTCTGTGAAACTCATATAGGCATTGGTATTTTACAGATGTAAAAAACAGAGTTGCCCTTGCAACCTAGATCTGGTTCCAAATCTTATGTTCTTTTCCCTGCCTTCTGGCTCCTGACTTGAGCAAAAAAGCTTGGCAGCAAGAAATATCTAAGATACAAATGAAATGATGTAAGGTACAGACATGGTAGGGTTGACTAGGAAGATCCTTGACTGCTTAATATTCCTAAGGACAACAGAAGTCCACTGCAGGCGGTTGTATAGCACTTTGATTCCCCATAGTATCAAGTAGAAAGCAAAGACAAAGCAAGCACTTGATACACATTAGCAACAGAAGACAGAAAAACAGTATCTAACTTGAAATATTAAAGAAACTAGGCTAATAGACAAAACAACAGAAGGAATTTTAATATATCATCTAAACAACTAGCATAATAAGTTACGTGCTTCCTCTACAGATAAAGATAGAGAATAGGTAAGAAACACAGATCAAGAAATAATATTCCACTAAATATAAGAAGAATAAAACTGCAATAAGTTTTTAGACAAGAACAGATTTCTATCTAACTAAAATAGTTTAGTCATATTACTACCTAGGAGAAGGTATAAATGAGTCTGATAACTTAATCAATGTAATTTTTAAAAATCTAAATCCATGAACTATAAAATCAGTCTCAGTTCTACAAACCAACCTTTTCTGGGTATGGTGCAATTTCAGTACTTTCGGCTTCAGGCCCTAGAAGAAAACAATATGCTTTTATTATAGTTTTATTAAGACATGAAAAATCAGCATTTTATAATTACATAACTTGAATTCCTTTAGATGATTCATATGACACATCAAATATTTTATAAGCAATCAACTTATTGATATGAAATCATATATCAATATAGGAAATGAAACTATAAAATCTTCCTTTTCCTAAAAACATTTTATATGGATAGATCCAAATAGAGTTGTAAATATCTGGAGTTATTTAGCTAAAAATAAACCTAACTCTCTATTTTGGCTGAATATTCTAAGTATCTGTACACAAGGAAAACATAGCCAATTTCTTCTCAGTTTCATTATCTCCTCTATTATACATAATATAGCTTAAATAAATTCACGCTACCCCCATGTAGAGCCAAAAGGGATCAAAAGGTCATCTTAGAAAATATACTTCTGTGACTTCAATTCTACTTCCTGCTTTCACCCTGCCTTTTCTTAGCTGAGTAGGCCAAGAGCAGTTTACACCCAAGTAAGATTGGGAAGGAACAAGAAAGAATATTTCTCCTGCTCCACACTCCATTTGCCTTTCATCTCCACCACCAACACCCAGGTATTCTGACATAGTTGAGCAGGAATTCAGGATTCACTGGCATTTCAACTGTATTTGAGTCACTCTTTTGGTTTTTTTTTTTGATTACTCAATATCTACATAGCTAGTGTAAAATGAAACAATCATCTGCTGAACTTCAGAATGCATCCTTACAAGCAAGACAGGTTTTTCAGGGGAAAAGAACCAGTTGGTTCATAAGAACCAATAATTATTCTTGTAGAGTCTTTTGTGCCAAACAGAGGATATAGTCTATTATCTATATCTTAAGTTATTTAAAATTTTAATACCAATGAAAAAAATACAGCTTCAATTATCTTTGCAAGGAGGCCTGTATATTTGAATGTTTTTAGATGTTCATGGAGTTAGAATTCAAAATCAAAAAGAAATCAGTCTTCTTCCTTTGAATTATAAAGAATCCTTGAAGACATCTTTTCCCATACTGTCTTTAACAACCTCATCATTAAAATGACTGTGCTTTTATACTAATAGTTAATATTTTCAAAACTTGATAAGTTAATGAAACAGCCATAGTAATTTCATTACCCTATTAAAAATAAACATTTTGAAGGAATTCTTATTTTCTAACTTAGAATTTATGTAGAATTTATAAATACAGTCAGGCGTGGTGGCACACACCTGTAAACCAAGCTGTTCGGGAGGCAGAGATCAAGAGGATCACAGTTTGAGGCCAGCCCAGGCAAAAAGTTAGTGAAACACCATTTCAGTCAGTAAATGAAGCATGGTGGACATAGGTAGCAGGATCTCAGTTTGAGGCCAACCACAGGCAAAAATGCAAGATCCTACCTGAAAAATAACTAAAGCATAAAAGGGCTAAGAGTGTGGCTTAAGCACCTGTCTAGCAAGCACAAGGCCCTGAGCTCAAACCCCAGTACCACCAAAAAAATGACAAATAGAAAAAGAATTTTCTTGAGTTCTTATCTATCATTTAATAAACAAAAGAATTAGTATATTTTCTACCTATCACTTGAGAGAGACAAAGGATAATGGTATGTACCAAATGCAAAGAAAATGGCTAGAGGAGCTGAGCTTTAACTTATATACAAATTTTGACTTATACACAGCATTTTAAAGGCAATGCTACCATGTTTACTTAAGACAGCTTATTATTTTGATCACTCAATAATATGATTAGAATCACCCACTGAATTCAGAGAGGATAGTACTGTATTAGAACATAGTCAGCTATAAAAGCTAAGAATTTAACAATGTACATACATGAGATTTAACCTCTGGCACAGGATGATAATAAGATGAGCTTTTCTTTTCTTGAGTACTCTGAAAGGAATGCTCCAAAAGGGAACTACAATTAAGTGCCATAAGAGAAGGGAACCACCAGTTCACAGGTTTCTAGTCATAGCAAGAAACACCATGAAGAAATACTGGTGCGCATGGTGCTTCTAAAGGAACAGCCAATAAGACTTGTGACTCAGAAGTTCTACACAGGTGCTGACAACAGTGCACAGAACCAACAGCATCACAAATGATTAATGGCTTTCTGAAGGCCAAATGGGCAGGAGGAAATGCAAGATATAGCAGAACCTTGTTTTTCTAGAAATAATAGGATTGGGTATAAGAAAAATGGGAATGAGCCTTTTTTGTAACTATTGCTAATACCTGTAATCATGGACGCCCAAGGGAGAGAAAGAATGCACAAGGCATGACATCACCTATGACACCTGTCTCAATCCCTAACATAAAGAACTTCAACCCCCAAGTTGATAACTCTATCGCCTTATTACCATGACTATTTTAGTTTATCAATAATTACATCTTATAAAAGATGTTGAATATGTTTTTTGCCAAATCTGAAGGACATATTTGGCATGATCTGAATTATAATATCAGGCTATCTGATTAGACTTCTTAAAACTAAAATTATTGGGTTAGGCACAGTGGCTCCCACATGTAATCCCAGCTATCTGGGAGGCAGAGATATGGAGGATAACTATTAGAGGCCAGCCCAGGCAAAAAGTTAGTAAGATCCCATCCCAACAAATAAGTCAGGTATGGTGGCACACATCTGTAGTCCCAACTATGCAGGAAACAGGTAGATTGGTTAAAGTCTAAAATTGGTCCCAGGTCAAAACACGAGACAGAGCCTACCTGAAAAATAACTTTAAAAAAAAGCAAAAAAGGTAGGAGGGCATGATTGAAGTGGTAGAGTATTTGCCTAGCAAGCACAAGGCCCTGAGTTCAAACCCCAATACCACCACAAAAAAAAAAAACTCATAAAGTATTTGAAGAGGAATATTAGTTATCATTTGTACTTTTACTTAACAGCTTATCAAAATTCTGTATCTAAGACATGAAAACTTTAAAAATCACTATTTCTTTAACATTTAAATTTATTACAAACTTAAAATTCCTTAAATAAACTAAACTACAAATTTAATGGAATTGTTTTAAAACAACAAAATTCTTATATAAAAGACAAAATATAGAGCCAGATATGGTGATACACACCAGTAATCCCACCTACCATGGAAATAGAGGCAGGAGGATCACAAGTTCAAGTTCAGCTACAGCAAAGTTTGCAACACTCTATCCCCAAAACAAAACAAAACAAACTGAGTCTAGCTGGCTAATCTAAATATATATATTTACCATAAAAGTTAACACTTCTTTTGATATTCCCAGAGTTACAAAAATTGTATGAGATAGAAAACAACATCTTGACCAACTTTGGTAACAGACTCTGGGTTACTCCCATGAGACTGACTGTTTCTCTGAAGAGGATTCAAATTGGAATAGCTAATTAGTTTTGCTCATAACACTTTCAACTTCACAAAGGGAGGTTTTTTTTTGTTTTGGGTTTTTTTTTTTCCTAGACAATATTTTTATTTTTCTCTGCCTCTATTTTAAATATATCTCACTCTTGATGCTCTATAGGTTGTTCTTCCCTTTCTTGGTACAATTCTTACTTTTCCCAAGTCTACTTGACTTACTCACAGCACTCTCTCTTATTTCTCTACATGTACAGTGATAAAAATATTCTAAGCTTCATAAAGACATATATTTGATAAAGAAAACAAAATGAATTGGGGGTATAGCACTTACCTAACATGCATGAGGCCCCGGTTTAATCCCCAGCCAAAAACAAAAAAAAATGCACATGTATTAACATGTCCCTAACTTTTCTTTTTAAGATGAGGTCTCACTAACTTTTGCCCAGGCTTGCTTTGAACTGTGATCCTCCCATATCCAACTCCCGTGTAGCTAGGATTACAGGTGTATACCACCACACCCAGTAGCAAGCCCCTACTTTTTAAAGTATTTAAAACATTCTGTTTTAATGACTTTTATTTTTGTATTGAGAAACCTTTCATATACTCTTACATTTTTTTAGTGTTATTGTGAACTGATGATCTTTTCACAAGTTTATTTCCATGAATGAAAAATGACTGGGTTTTTTTCACCTACCTAATTTACATAGGTTGGCCAGTAGAAGCCACAATGAACTGGTCCTTTGTTCTTTGAGCACTCAGTCAATATCCCTGAAAGATTACTTGCTTTTTAACCAATATGATGTCTCAGACCTATCCTGATATAGTTATGCTTCAAGACAGAATAGCTATCTATTAAGGACAAATGGTTTATTTAGAACTCAAATACCCATAGCATCCATACACCTGACACATAGCCACTTCAATAAGTATTTGTTAAAATAATGAACAAATAATATTATAGACCAAAACCTAGGTGTTAGGAGTGCATGTAAAAGTTTGTGATTGGCAATGTAGAAATGTAAAACAGAAGCCAGAGCTTTATGAATTTATCTTTTCCAATTTTTTGGCATGTCCTTGTGCTTTTTTCTTAAAACACAAGGTTTCATTGGCTACTCTGAATATTTACTACACTGAGACAGAACATACATAATGTTATCTCCAGAAAAGTCAGTAGGAGATATCTCAAGGTAGAATCATTCTCTAATACAGCTGAAACTAACGTAAAATTGGCCTTGGGACTGCCAGTCAAGAAAGGCATGACATACATACTAATAATATCATGAACGGAGAAAATAAACACTTTTTTTTTCAAATTTGAGTCCCAAAAAATTATAAGTGAAAAGAGGAGACATTTAGAGCAGCAGAAACTGATTGTAACTGCTCTATTTCTCCCATGGCCAACTCTAGGCAGAATGATCCAGGGCCAATGACAATATTGATTTCACATTTTAAAATACATGTAAATGAATTCATATCTAAGAAAGCCTTATATTTTTAGACACAGACAATTTTCTTTATATACCTCTACCCATGAAAACATACCTCCAATGTTTTGATGGTTCAATGAAAGTTCAAGCTGGGGAAAGGTTGCATTGAATATTGAAAACTTTTTTCTAGTTCTAAAAGAAATCAATCAATAAAAAATTAGATGGAAAGAAATCAACACTATTTCTCATTCAAATATAATTTAAACTTTTTTCATTTTATTTATTTATTTATTTTGTGGGACTAGGGTTTGAACTCAGGGTTTCATGATTATAAAACAGGAACTCTACCATTTGAGCCACATCTCCAGTCCAACTTTTTTTTCATTTAAATAAAGAGCTTTCCAAATAAAGCAATTTTTGCTATAATATTCAAATTATTTTTACAATTATTACCATTCATTAACATTTACATTTCAAGTCATTGCAAAAATAGAGACCTGAAAAATAAATGGGTGAATTCAGGAATACAAAAAAGTTACATTTAAGTCCAAAAGTGACTTTGGAGATGGCTGTCTTCCAAATAGGAATAGTGGTGCCAGGGAATAAATGGTTCTGAATTAGGTAGCTCAACTACCTACATCCTTAAATGCACTAATAGTTTGACATTACAGTTTTAGATATAAGAGAAAAATCACTAATGAGAAATTTCTCAGATATTATTTATCATTTTTGTATTTCATTCAGGCAAAGAAAAAGTAGGAAATACTGAAAGGAAGATGCTGAAAGCAAAATAAGGGTCATGCCCAATCTGCAATTTTGATCCTTTCCTCTGGATAAATGAAAGTTGATAGAAGAAAGGCAATCAGATGGGGTTTTTTCTTTGTCTGCATAATTTACTGCTTAAATTCCATCACTATATCTTCCGTTTTTTTTTTTAAGTCTCATTTCAGATGTTTTAAGAACAGTTTTTATGCACTAGGCATAGCAACTTAGATCCTAAGCAAGAATAATAAAACAAGCATTTTCTGTCAAAAGACAAGTAACCAATGTAAGTTATCTTGAAAGTGGAAATTAAACTGCTCAGATAGAATGATAATTTCTATTGAGGTAAACAGAAAAAGATGCTGAGGTTTTTCCTAAAATGTGTTTCTTTAAGAACAAGCTTATTGAAAACAAAATAAGACCATAGTTTGAGTCAATAAAATAATTCTTAATTGCAAAAGAATTTAAGACATAAAAGTCTGAAAATACAGCAAAATTTCATCTAAGTTCTTAAAAATATTAATTTAAATTAGGCAAGACTGCAAATACTCTAAATAGTTCAATCATAGATGAGTGGTTAAATATATTATTGTACAGTCAGTCATACAATGAGATATTATGTCACTAAAATTCATATGTTTAAAAAAATTGACATGAAAAAATAACTGTGAGAAGCCACTAAAATTTAAAAACAGGATACAAAACTATCTGCAGAATGATTCCAATTCTGTAGAAAAGTATAAACAAAGACAAATATATATACACACATACATACATAAACACACATACATAAATATACATATCCATATATATACAAAGTCTAAAATAAGATGTTCCAAAATGTTAATAGTCATTCTCTGTGCAGTAGGATTATATGCTATGTCTTTTCTTAGTCATAGACTCACAGACTTCCTTAGTCTTTTTCCTATTTCTGTAAATGAATTTATATTGCTAATATTTGGGTTAAAGGGTTATTTTACAAAAATGCTTCTCAAATTTTTTGATCTTTGAACAGCTTTACACTTTTAACAATTACTGAGGATCTCAAAGAGCTTTTATGAGGCTTATATTTATACTTTAACATAAAATTTAAACAAAGAAATTTTAAAATATTTGTTAATTTTTAAATGGAAATAAGGCGGTAACATATTACTATATTTTATAAAAATTATATTTTCTAAAATGAAAAACATTAGTAAAAGAACTTGCCATGTTTCACATCTTTAAAATCTTTATTGCAATATTAATATTGAATGTTAATAGACTCAACTCCCCCATTAAAAGACACTGTTTGGCAAACTAGATTAAAAAGGAAGATCTGACAATCTGTTGTTTACAAGAGACCCACCTTATTGACAGAAATAAACACTGGTTTAGGGTGAAAGGCTGGAATATTTACTAAGGCAATGGCGCCCAAAAACAGGAAGGAGTAGCAATACTTATATCAAAGTAGACGTCAAAACGAAGAATAAAAGGAAATACCTTCAACTAATAAAAGGGGCAAATACATTCAAAGGAACAATAACATTACCAGTCTATATGCACCAATGTCAGTGCACCCAATTTCATCAAACATACACGAAAGGACTTAAAAGCACATACAGACTCCAACACAGTCGTAACGGGAGACTTTAATACCCCTCTACCAATAATAGATAGGTCATCCAAACAAAAAAATCAACAAAGAAATCCTAGAACTAAATGACACCATAAATTAAATTGACCTAGCTGATGTCTACAGAATATTTCATCCAACAATGGTACAATATACATTCTTCTCAACAGCCCATGGAACTTTCTCCAAAATAGATATCTTAGGACACACAGCAAGCCTCAGCAAACATAAGAAAACAGAAATAACCTCCTGCATTCTATCTGATCACAATGCATTAAAACAAGAACAAAAAAACCAGCAAAACACATGCAAATAACTAGAGGATGAATACTACATTGCTCAGTGATCAGTGGGTCATAATAGAATTAAGAGAGGAAATCAAAAGGTTCTTGGAAGCTAATGAAAATAAAAACACAATCTAACGGAACCTATGGGACATAGCAAAGGCAGTCCTGAGAGGAAAGCTTATAGCCATGAGGTCATATATTAAAAGGACAGAAAGATCTCAAATAAACGACCTAATCCTACATCTCAAACTCCTAGAAAAACAAGAGCAAGCAAAACCCAAAACAAGCAGGAGAGAAATAATAAAAATAAGGGTCAAAATTAATGAAATAGAGACCCCCCCAAAAAAATCAATGAAACAAAAAGCCAGTTCTTTGAAAAAAACAAGATTGACAAGCCCCTGGCAAATCTGACTAAAATGAGAGAGAAGACCAAAATTAGTAAAATCAGAAACAAAAAAGGGGCGATAACAACAAACACCATGGAAATCCAGGGAATTATCAGAGACTACTTTGAGAACCTAATTCCAAAACTGGAAAATCTTGAAAAAATGGACAAATTTCTAGATACTTATGACCATCCAAAACTGCACCAAGAAGATATTAACCACCTAAACAGATCTATAACACATAATGAAATTGAAACAGCAATAAAGAGTCTCCCAAAAAACAAAAGTCCAGGACCTGATGGATTCTCTGCTGCACTCTATCAGACCTTCAAAGAGGAACTAATACCAACACTCCTTAGACTTTTCCACAAAACAGAAAGGGAAGGAACATTGCCCAACTCATTCTATGAAGTCAGTATTACATTCCTCCCAAAACTAGACAAGGACACATCCAAAAAGGAAAATTACAGGCCATCTCTTAATGAACAGTGATGCAAAAACTCTCAATAAAATATGGCAAACCCAAATCCAACAACACATCAGAAAGATCATTCAACACATGACCAAGTCAAGCTTCATCCAGGGATGCAGGGATGGTTTCAACATACAAACAATCAATAAATGTATATTTACATCAAAAGAAGCAAGACAAAAAACCACATGGTCATCCTTCAGCTTCATCCCAGGGATGCAGGGATGGTTCAACCTACACAAATCAATAAATGTAATACATTACATTAAAAGAAGCAAAGACAAAAACCACATGGTCATCTTAATAGATGCAGGAAACACTTTTGTTAAGATTCAACACCACTTCATGATAAAAGCTCTAAGAAAATTAGGAATAGAAGGAATGTACCTCAACATTATAAAGGCTATGTATGACAAACCTATAGCCAACATCATACTTAATGGGGGAAAAACTGAAACCATGCCCCCTAAACGCAGGAACAAGACAAGGATGTCACTCTCCCCATTCCTATTTAACATAGTCCTCGAATTCCTAGCCAGAGAATAAGGCAAGAAGAAGTCATAAGGGAATACAAATAGGTAAAGAAACAGTCAAAATATCCCTATTTGCAGACAACATGATCTTATATCTCAAAGACTCAGAAAACTCTACCCAAAAACTTTTAGACACCATAAACAGCTTCAGCAATGTAGCAGTATACAACATCAACTAACAAAAATCAGTAGCCTTTCTACACACCAACAATGAACAAATTGAGAAAGACAATAGGAAAACAATTCCATTTACAATAGCCTCAAAAGGAATCAAATACCTAGGAGTAAACTTAACGAAGAACATAAATGACCTCTACAAGGAGAACTACAAACCACTGAAGAAAAAGATGGAAGAAGACTACAGAAGATGGAAAGATCTCCATGCTCATGGACTGACAGAATCAACGTAGTAAAAATGGATATACTATCAAAGGCAATCTACATGTTCAATGCAACACCCATCAAAATTCCAATGACTTTCTTAGCAGAGACTGAAAAATCTGCCCTAAAGTTCATTTGGAAACACAAAAAACCACAAATAGCCAAGGCAATACAGAGCAAAAAAGAGCAATGCTAGAGATATCACAATACTTTAAAAAACTTCAAACTATACTACAGAGCTGTAGCAATAAAAACAGCATGGTACTAACACAAAAACAGATATGAAGACCTGTGGAACAGAATAGAGGACCCGGATATGAATCCACACAGCTTTGCCCACCTCATTTTTGACAAAGGCACCAAAAACATACTACGGAGAAAAGATAGCCTCTTCAACAAATGTTGATGGGAAAAGTGGCTATCTGCTTGCAGAAAACTGAAATTAGATCCATTCCTGTCACTCTGTACTAATATCAACTAAAACTCGATTAAGGACCTTAATATCAGACCCAAAATCTTGCAGTTAGTACACGAAGGAGCAAGGAATACCCTGGAAACAATAGGTATAGGCAAGGATTTCTTCAGTAAGCAGCAGCCCAGCAACTAAGAGAAAGAATGGATAAATGGCACTACATGAAATTAAAAAGCTTCTGCAGAACAAAAGAAATGGTCTCAAAATTGAAGAGACCACCCACAGAATGGGAGAAAATATTTGCTAGCTATACATCAGACAGCGGACTGATAACCAGAATATACAGAGAGCTCAAAAAACTAAGCTCCCAAAAAAAAATCAATGAACCTATAAAGAAGTGGGCAACTGAACTAACAGAAATTTTTCAAAGAAAGAAATCCAAATGGCCAAAAAACACATGAACAATGTTCACCCTGTATGCCGTTTACCGGCAGAATCTGGGTGACCAAAGCTGTAAAAAGATGAGAGGACTACTGAGTCCTGCTGAATAGCCACTTTAATGAAGTATACATTGCTTTTTAAAAACTCCTTTTATACAGAGAGCATTTGGTCAGAAAAAGCATGCCAAGTATTATGTGTCAAGGCTACATTAGTACAGGGAAGCACAGTTAAAATTAACTCTTTGTTTTATCTCCTTTAAAACAGGAACAGAGAAGCAGGAAAAGCACACGGTCAACATAACCTTCTTATTTACATCTGAAGGACATGAAGCCATCTGGGAACCTTGAATACTGTTTTTCTGGATGTCTGGCTTTCTCACAAGGCCAGATACCAACTGGCCACACAGGCAAGGTCTGGTCTGAGATTTTTGCCCCAGTTCCTTGGAGCTTTCTCACAAGGCCAAATGGCCAACTTACACAGGCAAGGTCCCACTGCTGGCTCAGACACACCCTCCCCAACCATAAAGGAAATGCAAATCAAAACCACACTAAGATTCTACCTCACCCCTGTTAGAATGGCTATCATCAAGAACAACAACAAATGCTCGCAAGGATGCGGGGAAAAAGGACCCTCATACACTGCTGGTGGGAATGTAAGCTAGTACCACTACTTTGGAAAACAATGTGGAGGCTCCTTAAAAAACTAAATATAGAACTGCCATATGATCCAGCAATACCACTCCTAGAAATATACCTGAAGGAATGCAACCCAGGTTACTACAAAAGCACCTGCACACCCACGTTTATTGCAGCACTATTCACAACAGCCAAGCTATGGAAACAGACAAGATGTCCTACAACCGACAAATGGATCAAGAAAATGTGGTATTTATACACAATGGAATTTTACTTAGCCACAAAGAAGAATGAAATTTTGTCATTCACAATAAATGGATGGAACTAGAGAACACCATCTTAAGCAAAGTTAGCCAGAATCAGAAAGCCAAAAATCACATGTTCTCCCTCATATGCAGATTATAGACCTAAAACAAATGCAGTAGTATTATTGGACATGGGTCGCACACTAAGGGGAGAACACACAGGAGAAATATGGAAAAGGAAAGAAAACCTAAAACTTGGATGTGGTTGATGTGCTCCCTGCTGAGGAGTGAATAAAGTAATCTTACATTGGCAGAGACCACTATGGGAATGGGACCAGGAAGAAGTGAAGAGGTCTGGCAGAGACAAACCAATGTGGGTAACAATACACAAGTGCATGGAAGTAACACTAGCAATCTCTCTGTATAGCTATCTTTATCTCAAACAAAGGTGGGAGGGGGAGTGGTGCAAACAATGTCCACACATGTAAGTAAATATAAAAACAATAAAATAAAAGAGAAAAGAAAAGATATAAAAATCTCTATTGTATAGCTTAATATAAGACAACCAGTATCTTCTATCTGCTACTTCATTCAGTCTTCTATATTATTTGTTTAAAGTATGTAACAAAAATCTGGCCTCACAAAGATAGGCAGTTGGAAAAGGGAGGAGTATTTTACGAGCCTTTTTGGTTAAGTGTGGATCTTCTTCATTGATAATACACCAAAATTCCACATGTGATAGGATTGTTATAAGTTAATAAGAATGTAAAACTGAAACAAAATTAATGACCTTTTTGTGTCACACTAAAACCAACTGGTCTAGCTTTCACCTCAAATGGGTCTTTTACAAAACCCTGCATGATTTTGTAACATACAGTGGTCTTTTAGGAAATACTGATTCATTGATCATTAGCTCTTCCTAATATTGACACATTTCATTATAAAATATTTTTTAAAAATCACCTTTGTGATTTTTAGAAAGTCACGAAGGTTAAGGGGGAGGACACAAATTTTCCAAAATTCCAATTTGAAAGTTTGTTTTTTTCATTGGTAACAATTATTATCAGTTATTTTTCTTGAAATGACAAGCTTACTTTATTCATTTTCAAGAAAATCTGCCATATAGCCAAGTGCGAATAACTAGTTTGCTTGTCAATTATTCTTTCAAGTTAAAAAGAAAAAAGTGAAATTGGTTTTCTTACAATGCTTACAACTCCAACAAGTACAACTGTGCTTTCCTCAAGTTGACCCCACCCTTCAGTAAATGCACAGAAGTACTTTAAGAATACCTCATGGAGAATATTAACAAGATAAATACTCAAAAGTGGATAATTCATAGACTCCAATAACTTTCCTACCTCATCAAAACGCATTCTTAAGTAAAATTAGCTTCTTCTTTTTTTTTTAACTGCTAGTACATAGGAGTGAAAAACAGGATGACTACTAGTATTTGGCACCACTGCCCTGATTCCTGTTGAGGCTCTGACATTTTAACTACCACTGCCTTAAAACTGGCAATGCAAATGTAAACAACATGAAAGAGGCAAATAATGTTACTAGTGTTACTGTGAAAATAGTTTTAACCTCACAGACTCTCTTAAAAGCTCAAGAACTTCCAGGGAGTCCACAGACCAAAGTTGAGAACCATTGTTTTCAGAACACCAAAAGAATATAAAGTTTCTTAAAGTATTAAATAGTTGCATTAAGTCTAATTTCAATAAGCTCTATAAATTCTCCATTTATGCTATAAATTCACCTTTTATATAAGTTTAATAAACAGAATCAACTTATTTTAATCTGATTCAATTTTTCTTATGAAACAAAATTTATCTAGAAATGTTTATAAAACAACATATATTTATGCTACTAAAGGAGCATTTATGAAAAATACACAATAATTCTAAAACTCTTAAGAAAATGAAGACTTATCCTAGACATGCAAAATAACAACAACAAAAAAAAACCACAATATGATGAAGTCAAAAGTTAGTATACTTACTGTAACAGAGCTTTATTTCGTGCTGTTTCATCTTGAGGTTGCTAGAAGAAAAACGGTAGTTTTTTCCAATTGACAAATGTTAATCTAATGCCAGAAGCTTAAAAAATTAACATTTAAGATAGTTCTTACATTAGTCTTTTTCAGACTATTTTTTTATCGTGGCAAAATATACAAAAAGTTTAGCATCTTAACACTCATAAGTGTATAGTTCTGTGGCATTAAGTACTCACATTTTGTATAAACATTACCACCTTTTATTCTAAAACCTTATCATTTTCCCAAGATGACACTCCAGACTCATTAAACATGAATTCTCCATTTTCTTCTACCATCACTCATGGCAACCACAATTCTACTTTCTGTCTCTATGGATTTGACTACCCTAGGAGTATCACATAAGAGGAATCATATAGTATTTGTCATTTTGTGATTAGCTTATTTCATATAGTACAATGTCTTCAAGGCTCATCCATGTAACATCAATCAGTATTTTCTTCTTTTTTAAGGCTGAATAATTTTCCACTGCAGGTGTGTTCATCATTGATGAACAAACACTTGTGCTGCTTTCCACCATTTCTGGCTATGGTAGATAATGCTACTATGAACATGAGACTACAAGGATTTCTTCAAGTCCCTGCTTCCACTTCTTTCAGGTATACATTCAAAAGAAGAACTGATAAATCATAGGTTAATTTTACATTTAATTTTTGAAGAATCACCATACTATTTTCCATGGTAGCCGTTATCATTTTACATTCCTCCAAGCACAAAGGTTACAAATCTACCACACATCCTTGTCAACAACTGTTATTTTCTGGTTTTTTCTTTTAACAGCCATCCTAATTGATGTGAAAGGGTATCTCAATGTGGTTTAGTTTGCATTTCCCTAATCATCAGTAATGCTAATCATCTTTTCATGTGATACTTTTCTCTTACGTTTTCTTCTAAGAGTTTAGTTTTGGCTCTTATGTCTTTATCTTAACTTATTTCTATAAAAGTTGTGAGATTTAAGTGAAGAGGAATGGAAGAATTCTTTTTTTACTCCTAATTTTTCTCCTCTTCATTAATTCATGATGATTCTGTGGAGTTATTCTTGTCAGGTTCTGAACTCGAATACTTCCCTTAAGGACCAGTAAGTATACACTTCTGTGTTATAGCATTCAGTGATAAGCTGCTTCTGTCAAATTTAAAATCATAACAGAAAATCTGAGGAAAGAAGCTGAAATTCACTGATACAAAATTTCCAACTTAACATTTCACAGCATATTACTTTAGAAGGACCTATGCCTTACACATGTTGTCAGCATTAAAAATCTTTAGGAAAAAATCCCTCTTTGGGGGCCCTCTATATTTGCTTCTGTGATTAGTAACAACTTTTAGTTTTCCAAAAATAAAGCCATTAGCCTAAACTTGCAGGAATTTTGGTGATCACACCAACACAGTCAAAAAATAACAACAAAAACACAAATAAAGCTCTGTGAGAACCCCAATCTTCTCCAATCTAATGTTGTGTTATTTATTGATAATGCATTCCTACATACCTCAAGTTTATCACATAGTGTCCATGTGTTTATATTTACCAAGCAGGCTTTACAAAATTCAAAAAACCCAGAGATAAGAAGGAATTTCAAGAAAAAAAAAAAACCCTAGACACCCCCAAGGACTAATTTAATATACTTATATACTTACTAGATAGTTTTGCATCTCCACAAAGCAATTCAAATATCTGTACTATCCACTTCATACCCCTTACTAAAAGACCAGTAACTTTTCCTGTTGAGGGCTAATTGTTCACTTGACCATTTAGGTAGATAAATGTAAATGTAAAAAATAAGAAAAACTGACTTTCTCTCTTCTATAGGCAGAAATAATAGCTGTAGTTATTCACTTATTAATTAACAAAATTAAAGGAATAGATTTCAGTCAATTCTTTCACAAGGGATCCACAATACACATGACTACATTTTTCTCCTGCCCCTACATCCTAGTATTTTGGTCAGGACATTTTTTTCAGAGCAGATTGTAAGAGGCTACATTAATTGCATTAATTTGGAGGATCTGGAAAAGAAGAAAATCTATTTATATATCTTAAATCAAAAAACAATCCTCCACAATCTAAGGTCACTCTCTTTAGCTGAATCATGGATTACCAGGATGGAGTATAAGTCTGGCCAGCCAGATGAGCCCAAACAACCCTAGCTCTCCATGATACATCAGATGTCTCCTATGCACTGCCCTCACATGCACTAGAGTGGAATACTTACTCATCACTGGTATTCAATGTTTTACTAAGTTGCTTGTTAATAGCATTTGCCTAATATATCTTTCTCTCAGACTCAGATACCCAAATTTGGTTACCTACAACGAATTTTTAAAGCATTTCTAATATCCGTATGATTCTCCTTTAGAAGACTTCATTTGGACAAATAGTACCTCTGTACATTACTTGGATTATTAAATGCTGAAGTGGTTGTTTGGCAGTCTACTCACAGGTATCTAAAATTAACTTAAACATGAAGTGATTTAACGATTGAATTAGAACTTTCTTTACTCCAGTTAAGCTAGGTGACAAAGTCCTATTTTCATGCCATTTCTTCCGAGAAATATTCCTAAGCCACTGCAACTTCTGGGAATAAACATCAATTCTAGGACTGTAAGAATTAAATCAGACCAGAATCAGTTAATGAGTTAAGAATAGTATAACAACAACAACAACAAAAAAGTGGTAAGCTCAGTAGAGTCAAGGTTTTCCTCTAAGTTTTGAAAAATCACCCAAGACTTGGCAGTCCAGCATTATTTATCTGAGAGTCTGCTAGTAGTGAGGAGAGGAAATTGAGGCATGGGAAACAGCAGCCAGGAATTTACAAATAAGTACTGTACTAATGAATAGCTTGCTTAAAAACATACAGATACTGCTTTCTTTGCTTTAAACCTTACGCTTCCTCAATAAACTGCAACATTTACTAAAAAGAAAATAAAGGAAAAAAGAACACCTCTCTCTCTCCCTCTGACCTTGCCCACTTGCCCAAAAATAATTAGTGTGCTCTGAAAACTAAACAAGGATATCTTAAAAAAAAACAACGAATCCTGGAAAAGAACACCTAGAAAAATGACTCCTCTGGGCACAAGAAGTATTTATGAAGGTGATATCTATCTATCTTAAATGGAGCATATTTTGAAGTCTCTGGGCCTAATTGATAAAACAGTGTAACAGCAAAAATGATAAAATATACTATGTGTCAGAATAAAGAGGTACTCTTTCCTTAGGCAAATTTGAGCCAAACCCCCAGCCCACTTTTTCCCCATAAATACCCCTGATGTTACAGTATTTGTTGCACCTGTTATTGTATGTGTCTGCACCCATGTATGGGTTATGTACTATATTTCTACCTTTCCTTTGCCTTGATGTGCTCTGAAATTCTTGTGACATCATCATGAACTCAGTACCCAAGGGCCAGCAGAAGCCTCCTCCCTTTTGGAGACCTTCCCCCTGGAGTGTCACCAGTTCTGGTAACAGTAGGAGAAATGTTACCCAAATCCTGGAGATGCACACACACACACACAAACACACTTGATCTCTCCATGAGCTCTGGCCTCAATAACCTTGATCTCTTCCATTATCTGCTTATCAACTGAGTCTGTTTCTTCATTACCTTTTCCATATTCACTTTGATATTCATTTTTAACTGATTTCACCTCCACATATGTATGAAAATGGAAGGAGTAGGCTGTAGGAAGGGGAAAGGATTCAACCTAGAGTCACACCTCACAAAGAGCCCTGTATTTCTAAGAATAGAAGACGGAAGAAGTGGTCTGCTGGTAGTAATGATTAAATAATCACTATTCCATGTCAAGTATCTTACAGATGACCAAAAAATGATCGTGAGACTAGTGATACCCACTGTATTAGTTAGAGTTCTCCAAAAAAACAGAACCAAAAAGACATGGGTATGTAGCAAAAAAGAGGTTTATTATAAGGAGTTGAAATTAAGTCCAAATCGACAGTGTAGGCTGTCGATTTGTAAGAGAGCCAATGGTACAGTTATAATCAGGTCAGTAGATAGTGAACCAGAAGAGCTAATAATACAGATGAAGTCTGAAGAGTAACAGACAAAAAGAAAACAACAACAACAAATGGATACATAGAGAGATCAGGAAAGTCAATAGTATAGATAAAGTCCAAAGACATCTGCTTCTTGCTGGAAGCAGCATTTTTTGTTGTTGTTGTTAAAATCAGGTACTTGATTGATTAGATGAGGGCACTCTGTTTTACTTAAGTCCACCGATATAAATGTTAATCTCACTTCAAACCACCCTTGCAGAATTACATATGACATACTATTCGGAAAGTCTGTGGCCAGGTCAATTGACACATAAAATTAACCATCACACACACTATCTTGATAGACACCAATGTCTCCAATTATGTCTCCAGACATTATCACTAAAGTCTCCAAATAAAATCGAAAGTAATTCATACAAAAAATTTAAAACTGTGTTATACTTTGAATCTGGAATGTTTTCCCCAAAGACTCATGTGTTGAAGGCTTGGGCCCCAGTTCAGGCGGTATTACTGAGAGGTGGTGAAAACTTAGGAGGTGGAGCATAGTTGGAGGAAGTAAATCATTGAAAGCATGCCTTTAAAGAGTATATTCTCATTCATTCTCTCTCTCCTCCTCTCTCCCTCCCTCCCTCTCTCTCTTTCTCTCACACACACACACATACACACACACACACACACACACACACACACACACACACACACACACACACACACACACACACACACACTCTTTACTACTCAGCTGCCATGAAGTGAAAGCAGCTCTGCTCTGCCTGCCATGTGCTCCTGTAACAATGTTCTGTCTCACCACAGGCTCATAACAATGGAGGCCAAGTGACCATGGATGGAAACTTCTAAAACTGTGAGTCAAAATAAGTATTTCTTGCTTTAAGTTGATTTTCTCTGGTATTCTGTCACAGCAATGAAAAGCCAACACAAGCTGCTTGTTATATAGTACATGTATAAAACTAGAAAAGGTATTGCAAAACCCAACATAAATGAGCATGAAATACATTAAAAATTAAATATTTTAAAAATTAGCATGGCAGATACCAAATCAAAGATCTTCTTTCTATTCCTAGTTTGTCCTTATTTAAAAAAGCTCATCATTTCTAAAATAGTCTTTTTTGAAGTTGAAATGGCAATTGATTGAGTATTTCGATATATTTAGAAATCTGTTAAGCAATTATTTAAAATTTATTTAAAAGTCTGATTCAAGTTGTAAAACCAATATTTTTTCCTTTAAAGAACTCTAAGAAAGTACTTTTCAAGTCTTTCCGTTTTCTATCTCATAAAAGTCAATTTCTCTCATATAGTTAAATTTCGGGGGATTTATTTTCACAGAATAAAGTAAAATCAGGTTGAAAGTAATAACACATATTGATTTAGAAAACATGTATTAATAAAATTTGCTACACTTGGGTTACATTATCTAACTTTAAAACAAAAAAATAATGGGCATAAGGAAAAATTAAACAAGGTATCTAGTTTTCCAATGAATGTACAAAAAAAAAGGAGGACAACTACTTCTTTTGTCCTTATTATCCTAATTTCACAAGCCCATAGTCACCAGATGGAATATTTACTACCTGATGATAACCTTTTGAAAGATACATTTATTGATTCTTCAAATCCTCTAAGATAATTGTTCCTAGATGGCTGGTCATCAGAAATTTCTTGGGAGGCTTTTAAAAAATGGACATTCACAGGTTCTATTTAAGTACAGGTCTAGGAATCCATATTTGAAAAAAGCTACCCTATCCAAACGTGGTGGCTCGTCATGCCTGTAATCCTAGCTACTTGGGACGATCATAGTTCAAGGCCAGCCCAGGCAAAAACACTAGCCCCTATCCCAGTGATAAATAACTAAAGCAAAAAGGGTATGGGCCATTGCTCAAGTGGTAAGCACCTGAGTTCAACACCTAGTACCACCACACACACACAAAAAAAGCTACCCAAATTAATGTGATTCTCAAGCTTTCAAAACCATAGTCTGAGGTGCAATTAGAAGCCTGCTACGGTAATCACATAACAAATGCTTATAAGACAAACTAAAAAAATATGCTTTTCATTTCACAGTCACTGAAGCTAGGGAGGGAAATACTCTTTTTCCTTAACTTAGAAATTACAAAACCAACTTTTAAATTATTAGAAGCCAAATATAAGTATCTCAGTTTCAAGGAAAAAACCTGGTATTTAATTTTTCTTTTTATCACAGATAATTCATGTGATAAACTTTCCCGGCTATGTTATTAAACATACCCTCACATCACTCTTTGGAACTGCTGCCAGTTCTTTTATTAAAATACATGTATCTTTTCTTCCATTCCTTAAACCTTTGTAGATAGATGTCTCTGGCTAGCTAATAACCTAATCATGTCAAAGCTAACTGAATCATCCCATACTGAAATACTCTGGTGTTTGCAATAAAAAGAAATAAGTAAATGGAAATTCTTAGTAGGAGTGTTACACATATACTCACACATATAAACCAACAGAAGATTCTTTAATGACCCATATCTCTAATTATATCTCAAAGACTGTTATCTTCTTCACAAATGTACGATGTTCTCTGACATAAAATGGAGATGAAAACTACAATTATTACATTCTATTTTAACCTCTGTTCCTTTCCTGAAAGGACAAAAAGGGAAATATATTTTAAATAACCCCTCCTAAAACAAATGGTTTTTATCCAAGTGGCAGCACAGAAATAGAATGACTGGTTAAGAGGTTAAAACTGAATATAGGAAAAAGAAAGAAGCAAAAAAAAAAATTAGTCAAATAGAATTACCACTAGTAATTTTCCAATTTGAGAGATAACATTTCCAATTTTTCATATGTATGTATTCAATACACAGCCTACATACCTGTAACACTATATCCTCACTAAGAATGGGCATCACCTTATTTTTATTCCTTTGCTGTTGTGAGTGCTTTCTGAGTCTGAGCCCAAGTTGAATCTCAGGAGAAGATGTGCCTAGAATGAAATATAATCAAAAATCATATGTAATAATTTTATTGCTCTGCTTTGATGATGACCCAAATATTTTATAAATACTGTTAAATTTACTAAAAATAATTTGGTAGAGGTGGAGAGTATAGTTCAGTGTTACAGTGCATACTTAACATGTGTGAGGCTCTGGGTTCAACCCCCAGCACCCCAAAAATTGTGTATCATAATTTCTTACCTGTTCCTTTTCTGTGTCAGTGTTTTAAAGTTATTAGTTAGTAGAAGGTACATATGCTACACTGAATAAAATAATACTAGATATTTCTTTGTCTCAGAATGATGAATATAAGGGATATATGGTATAGACTTAAAACACTGTTAGAAATAATCTTTTAAAACTGAATTTTAGGGTTTTTTTAAGTCATAATATTAGTATATAATCCTAAAAAAGCCAGGGTTTTGTTTTCCAAATGGCAAATCAAGTCCATTTTTTAACTTTTCTTCCTATTCAAGTTCCTAAAAATGATTAGTTTTTTCTAAAATCTGAAGCAATAATGGAATAAAAGGAAATGTAATTCCTATAGATCAAAAGAGGGAAATGGACTAAAGGAAAACTAAACAGTAGTAAACAGCTTGTTATAGACTGTTTGTATTCTCCCAAAAGTTGAGAATCCCTAGCCCCCAATATTGATGATATGAGTAGTGACTTTAGGAGGTAATTAGATTTAGCTCATGAGAATGGAGGCTTCAAAATGTGATTAGCATCCTTATGAAAAGAAGAAAAAAAGAAACTAAACACTCTCCTTCCTTGAGCATAAAGAAGAGGTCATATGAGCACACAGCAATATGGCAGCTGTCTACAAGCAAAGAAGAGAGTCTGTCTCAGAAAACAAATCTACCAGCACTTTGATTTTGGACTTCCCATCCTACAGAATGCTGAGAAATAAATGTTTGTAGGTTAAGCCACCCAGTTTAATGTTAGTTTATTTATAATAACACAAGATACAGGAAAAGGAGGAGCTTCCTCAGAAGTAACTATATATAGTTCTTCCATCAAAATTCCAGAAACCACCCACCTCAGACAGAGCATGCTACCATTAAAACTTGGAAAGTGAAAATCAGAAGTGCACAGTGAATAAAGTCTCATACTTCAGTAAGCTTGCTATTTGTAACAAAGAAACTTAGTATGAACACTGTGGCCAGCTACTCTATGTAGTACATCTTCTTTACCAGATATAGAAATGTATGAGAAGCTTAAGATGCTAAAATAATTGTGATGGCACAGAAACAGTTATATAGATTAGTGAAACAAAACAGAGTGGGAAACACACTTTCATACACATACATATATCATGGATTACCCAATAAATAATATTGGGACAATTGTTTGACCATTTGACAAAATAGTTAGAACCCTTCCTTTTCCATATGCTAAAATATTCCAAACACATTAAAGAAATAAATTTACTAAATGGAAATAAGCAATATATTTTATAGTTTTCTGGTAGGTGAAGTTTTCTTACATTTGACTAAAACAAAAAAGGCAAACAAACAAATAAACCCCAGCAGAAAAGACTAACATATTTACTTTATTAAAAACTTAAAATTTCTTCACACAAAACATATTATGAGTAACATTAAAAGAAAACCCGACATGGGATAACCAGACACGAGGTAAAACTATAATATAACATGGTACAGGTTTGCTGTCATTAATATATACAGTGTTTCTATAAATCAATAATAAAATGAGAATTAGGAACATATAAGCAATTCACATACAAAATAACAACTATGAATGACCAATATTAAAATATATCTACCTTGATAGTCTCTGAAAATACAAATTGGAATAATCAGATACTTTTCATTTGTCAAAGACTGAGTATGTCTAAAGATGACTTCCAACCTCTAGGGGTAATACTATCAAGAGCTAACATGGGTACATCTCTCAATAGCGTATCTATTTTAGTAGTTATTCTAAGGAAATAATCAGAAAAAGTAAGAATAGTACACGTATTAAGATGTTCATATTTGTAATAGTACTGAGAAAAATCATAAATATCATTAATGTATTAAATAAGGAATACAATGTAATAATAGGTAGCACTTTAAGACATTAGGGTAAGCTCCTTTGATGTAGAATTAGTACTTCTTTTGTATAATGGCAACAGGGGAGACTGGAATTCATTATGGCCTATGAAAGCCTGAGAAAGAAGTCAGATTAAGAACAATGATTATCCTAGTTTGGAGGTGGTGGAACAGAATGGTTTGGGGGTACAGTTTAAGGTTAAGAGGCACACACTACTTAGTAAATCCATGAAAGCCTACTGGACTTGTTAAGGATACAAAACAGATTCTGATTCAACAAGCAGCCAATCAATGAAACAGATATACTTGCACTGGTGCAAATGTAGGATAAAGACACAACTCCTACTTCAGTAGCAGACAAGAGGTGTCCATCTAAAAGAGAACTTGCTACTTTACTCCAGAATGCTATCCTTACTAACTGAGAATATATTCTCAATTAGAAAACTAACTACTACAGTTTAATTTTCTCTATTCCTTCATTTTCCCCTTCCCTTGTCCTTTGAGCATAAAATAGCTGATGTATATTCATAAACATAGTTTTTTAAAAAAATAAATGACCAATTCATGTTTTGACAAAATCAAATAGAATGGGATAGGGAAAATACTGATTTTGTAAAACCACCCACTTTTTCCATTAGTAGAATGCTCACTCAGTTTTTATCTTTATATTTTAATAAGTTATTTTGTTTTCAGTATTTTAACTAAAAAAAACATAAAAATCCTTGCATACTTTAACTGGAGATTTCTAATGTTTTTCACTTATCATTATGAAACCAAGAACAATTTCATGACCTTGTGTACATAGCCATTACCTGTAGAGCAATCAATATTTTTCTTTTATTCATATGTGCATACAATGTTTGGGTCATTTCTCACCCCACCCCTCCCTTACCCCCACCTCCTCCCTCTCCCCCACTACCCCCTTGCTACCAGGTAGAAACTATTTTGCCCTTATCTCTAATTTTGTTGAAGAGAGAGTATAAGCAATAATAGGAAGGAACAAGGGTTTTTGATAGTTGAGATAAGGATAGCTATACAGGGAGTTGACTTGCATTGATTTCCTGTTAGAGCAATCAATTTTTAAGTAGGGATAAACTACTCTAAAAAAAAGAAAATTATATTATTTTCTCTTCAAGTCAAACATCTTGTTTAAATATACTTACTTAAAATAAAAAAACAAAAATTAAAAAAAAGAAAAGATTACGTGGTGGCACACGCTTGTAATCTCAGCACAGGAAGTAAGGCAGGAGGACTGTGAGTTCCAGACAAGCTTGAGCAACACAGTGAGACCCTGTCTCAAAAAAAGACAAAAACAGGGCTGGGGACATGGCTCAAGTGGTAGAGTGCCTGCCTGGAAAGTGCAAGGACCTGAGTTCAAACCCCACTAGCACAAAAAAAAAAAAAAAAAAAAAAAAAGGAGAAAAACAAAAACAAACAAAAGACTGTGGTAGATCTATATAGACAAGGAAATGAATATTTAGTATGATACCAATTATGAAGAAAGATATTTATATTGGCATAAAAATGTCTAGAAAGATATTCAAATACTAAACACTGACAATAGAAATGAAATTATAAGGAAGAGTGGAAAATGAAACCTTTCAGCTTTTACATTATATACTTTATATTTTAAAAACACTTTATACTGTTAATAACTGGCAAAAATAACAAAGGCCTATTCATTTGGAAAAGGAAAGTAAGGAAAGAAAAAAAGCTTGGTTGGAATATTGAAACAGATCTCTAGCTCCTTCCTGCTGGCATTCCAAATACCAATATAAATAGGAAAGACTACTATAAGATGAAACTTTAACCTTCTATTGGGATATCAGATGAGACAACGTATCACAAAAACATGTTAACTATCCAACAATACACAAAAGTTACAAGACCTTCATGTGTGCTAAAAAATTTTTTATTGTTTTACGCCAGTTTCTAGACATCTTCCAACATAAAAGAAGGGCTCACACGAAGAAACCATAAAAGAAAATATCTTTTTGAGGAAAGAGTTTTTCTAAAATTGTTTAAGCCAACCTAGAAATAAGCTCAGGAAATATGAAGAGAATTTGCGTAAGGCAAGGTAGGGTGTGTGGTATATTTTAATTTTAAGCTATAAGAATACAAAGTATTAAAAGTAATAAAAGTTATCAAAAGATATTATTTACTTTTACAAATGACAGGTTTTTATGGTTAAGCTGGAGATCTGTGGGGTAGGGAGAACAGCCATCTAGGTGCTACTTCAATACCTCTGGGCCCCTTGTAGTTGTCTTAAACATCTTCTGGAAGCTTCAGTTCACATTGTTGTCATGATTATGATAGACTTTAATCAACATTAGGGTCTATTACAAATGTCTACAAGAGACTTTGTATAAATCAGGCATGGTGGTTCATGCCTATAATCTCAGGTTTCAGGAGGTGAAGGCAGGAGGATTGCTAGTTCAAGGTCAGCCCAGTTAGTTATTTAGTGAGACTCTATCTAAAAAACAAAAGGGCTGGGTAGGGTGCTTGCTTAGCAAATGTGAGACCCTGGGTTCAATCCCTAGTTCTACAAAAAGAAACGAACCTTGGATAAAGCTAAAATATAAGACTAAATATAAAAGAAGAAGCTTATGGGATGATAATACTTGGGAAACTGATAGGATAATAGTGAAGAGAATTTTTCTCACCTTCACGTATTCCATTTATACCAGGATGAGGATTGAACTCAGATCTCAGAGATGTGTCTTGATCAAAGAGGAACCTTTCAAATACCAAAAAAGAAGGCGCACATTATTATGTTTCTGATACGACTAACAACACTTCTGTTAAACTCACTGGGCTTCTCAGTTACACCATTATTACTATTTCTATTTCAAAGTATTATTTCAGAAAGGTACATTTTAATTGAAAATATGTCCAAGAAGAAAAATACTCATTCATGCTTATATTCATTTTTATAAATATTCTGTTATATTGTTTGGGTATATTTTATTGCATTTAGGGAGTAAGAGAAAAATATCAATAGTTTTTGAACAGAGGTAAAATGAAGAGATCTTTTGAAGGACTATCGCCTGTGAGTTTTTTCCTTCCTGTTTCTCTACTCCACAGGAAAGTTGAGATTAAAATCACAGGGCTAAACCCAAGTATGTATTTTCATTATATGTGGATACATAATTCCTTGAATTTTTTTTTATTTACATCTTACTGTGTTTGAGGCAGAACCAAGATAACAGAGAGAAGACACACAGTCCTGAACCCTCAAGAATTTCCAAACCTCTTGAGGGATATAGAACTAAGAAATAGCAATAATTTGCCACAGTGAGTATACTACTTGGTAGACTTAAGGATTTATCTTTTCTGTTTCAAAAATGGGCAAAGAACTTGAATGGACATTTCTGTAAAAAGGAGGAGGAAATGGCCAATAAGTAAATGAAAAGATGCTTGACATCACTAATTATTAGGGAGATGCAAATCAAAATTACAATAAGATACTACTTCATACTCATTAGGATGGCTGTTATTAAAAAAAATTAAACTTTTTTAAAAACAGAAAATAACAAATGTTGGTATGGATATAAACAAACTGAAACTCATCTGTATTTCTGATAAAAATAGGGATAACTACTGAGCAGCAGTTCCTGAAAAAAATAAACAGAACTGCCATTTGAAACAGCAATCCCACTTCTGGATATAGATATATATCCAAAATATATGGATATTTTCATATATATATGAAAGCAGGGACTCAAACAAACCTTTGAATATCCATGATCATAGAAGCATTATTCACAACAACCAAAAGGTAGAAATAAACCAAATGTTCATTACTGGATACAAGGATAAATATGATATATGCATACAGTGGAATATTACTCTACTGAAAAAGAAATACAAATATATGCCACAAAATAGATGAGCCTTGAATACATTATGCTAACTAAAATAAGCCAGGCAGAAAAGGACAAGTATTGAATGATTACACTCAAATGAGGTACCTAGAGTAGTCAAATTCACAGGACAGAAAGTAAAATTGTGGTTGCCATGAGTAGCAGGAGAAGGGAATAAGGAATTATTGTTAATGAATACACAGTATCACTTTGGGATTGAGAAAAAGGTTCTGAAGACAGCAACAGCAGTGGCAGAACAATGTGGATATACTTAATGCCACTAAATGGTACATGTAAAATGGTTAAAATTAAGTTTTATATAAGATATATTTTACCACAACAAAAAAACCTAATTTTAAAAAAATTCCCCAGGATCCATGAACACAACAGTGTATTATCTATAGTAAGGCATAAATATGTAGTTTGGTGCTAAGGTTTTTAAATTTTTTTCTTACTCATTCATGTTTATTTTTACTTTTTTTTTCCAGTGGTACTGGAGTTTGAATTCAGGACCTCATGCTTGCTAGGCAGGTGCCCTACTGCTTGAGCCACTCCACCAACCGTTTATTTTTACTTTTTTTCTAGAAAATTTCAAACCAACTCTGCCCCTTGTTGACTCCCAACAGATTAAAGCTGATCCTAGACATACTAATTCATATCATGTAGAAATATTTCAGTATATTATTCTAAAATATACTCACTTTAACATAATTATAATGCCTTTCAAAATAACCATAATTATCACATCTAAAATTATCTATAATCCCTTAAGTAGTATTTAATTTTCAGTCTATGGTAAGCAGCCTCTAAAACAGCCCCTAATATATATGTAATTGCATATACATAGATTTAGATCCATTGCTTGGGCTAGGAAGGGCTTCTTCAAAGTGTGTCATGAGTTGTTTGACATAACCTTGCTTGCTTATGGACTGAATCGTGTCCAGCCCCAAATTCCTATGTGGAAGTTCTAACTCTTAGTGACTATATTTGGAGATAATTAAGGTTAAATGAGGTCATTAGGGCTTCATCCAACATTACTGTGGTCCTTAGAGAGAGAGAGACACCAGATGTGTGTGCATAGAGGAAAGACACAAGGAGAAAGAATTATCTGCAAGCCAAGCAGAGAGCCTCAGGAGAAACCAACCCTGCAGCTCCCTTGATCTTGGACTTCTAGCTTCCAATATTGTGATAAAATTCATTTCTAAGTGGTCCAGTTTAAGCTGCTCAGTCTGCAGAATTTTGCAAACTAATAACCCATTAGTCCTTACTAGAATCCCAGGTTGGTCTTTTATACCTCCTACCTCAGACCTGAAACTGATCTTTTTCATAAAATGCTGGTTTCTTTTAATGGGATACCATATTGAGGGTCCCCAATACTAGTATTATTATAGTATGATTAGTTAAGGAAGCTATTTTGCAATTTTTTATATCCTTAGAGCATATCATGTTTGGCATGTACAGCTAAATTCCATTACTGGTGATAAAGTAATTTCTTTTCATAAAATTATACCACCAAATCACTACATAATTAGGTTTACTTCTTTCATCTTGTTTTGCTTCTGAGGAATTTTTCATGTCAATTTAACTTAGCATTGTAACTACACGAAACATTTACATTGTCCCAGAGACAATGCACAAAATAAGACCTCTTTAGATCAAAATGGAGAAGCTGCTATGCCTGACCCTTCACTTACCAGTTCTCTCCCTCCATTTTTTGTAAGAGCTTTACTTTTTTATTTTTATTTATTTAATTATTCATTTATTTACATGTGCATACATTGTTTGGGTCATTTCTCCCTCCTGCCCCCTTCCCCCATCGTCTCCCCCTGACTACTAGGCAGAACCTGTTCTGCCCCTATCTCTAATTTTGCTGAAGAAAAAACATAGGCATAATAAGGAAGACAAAGCATTTTTGCTAGTTGACTTAAGGATAGCTATACAGAAATATTCCTAGCATTGCTTTCATGTACACATGTGTTACAACCCATGTTGATGCATCTCTAACTGATTTTTATACTGGTTTCTGATGCCCTTCTCATGTTGACCTCTGTCACTTTAAGGTTTCTTTATTAGTTCCTCTGGAGTGGGGAAATCAAACACTTTCATGTGTTGGGTTTTCTACCTATCCCCATACCTCCCGCATGTGCTGTCCCCTTGTCATGTGATCCAAATCCAACCCCACTGCTGCATTTGCCCTAGAACTAAAGTCCACATATGAGGGAGAGCATACAACTTTTCATCTTCTGAGCCTGGCTAACCTCGCTCAGAATGATGTTCTCCAGTTCCATGCATTTATCTGCAAATGATAAGATTTCATTCTTCTTCATGGCTGAGTACAATTCCATGTGTACAAGTAACATAATTTCTTGATCCATTCATCAGTAGTCTCTCCTTCCATTTTTATTGTATTATCTTCCCAATTTTTAAATATAAGCAATATGTGTGTCTCTTTGCCCCCTTCTTAAATGAGCAACAGTATTCTCTACACATTTTTCTTTGCTCTCCTTAAAAAATGCATCTACTAGACAAATCACTCTACAGGGCAGACCCCTTCATTCCCTTTTTATTGATATCACCCCATTATGTGAGCTCTTACTCAATTTTAAAATCTTATTAGAACATGATTGTAGAAGTTAAAAAAAAAAGTTTTAGTAAGAAAATCTGTAAAACTGTTCCATATTTCTATTTCCAATCATAATACATGTCATACACATTATAATAAAAGAACAAGGGTAAAAAAAATCACCATTAAAAAATCCCCAAATTTCCTAATATTTCTCAGCACCAGAAAAATTAACAATAAAAAAGGACTCCAGTCCTTAATTTTTCTATCACACCTTCTAAGAAAGAAAGTACAGGCACATGCTACAAGGGTTAAAAAAAAATCTTTCTTGGCTATTATTTAGGATTAAAAGATTCATTATTCAAATATGAATAACAACATTACCATAGTGCATTTTTCCAGAAGCAAAACAAATCACCAAAAAAATTTTTTATGTTTTGAGGGTTTTTTTTGTTGTTGTTGTTGTTGTTTTTGGTGGGCCTGGAGTCTGAACTCAGAGATTCACCCTTGCAAACAAGGCACTCCTCCACAGCAGGCTTAAGCCACACCTCCCATCCATCTTGCTCTGGTTATTTTGGACATGGGGTTTTGCAAACTATTTGCCCAGGCTGGTCTTGAACCACAATCCTCCTGATCTCAGCCTCCCAGGTTAGCTAGGTTTACAGGTGTGAGCCTCCAGCACCCAGATTTGAGTTTTCTTTTTAAATTTAAAAATAACACAAAAGTGGCATAGAAAAACATTAGGGAATAATGGAACTGTTCTATATATTGACTGTGGTAGTAGTTATACAACTGTGTGTTTGTAAAAATTCACAGAACTATATACTGAGAAAGATAAATTCACTTTACATAAATTCTATTTTGAAGGGTGGCATATCCAAAATATGCTTTTGTCATAACAATTACTTTGAGCTGCCTGGTGTGGTGGCTTGAGCCTGTAATCCTAGTTATTTGGGAGGTGGAGAGCAGAAGGACTGAAGTTCAAAGTCAGTTTGGGCAAAAAGCTCCCCAAACCCCATCTCAACCAATGACTGGGCACAGTAGTACACATCTGAGCATAAATGGGAGGATGGTGGTCCAGGCCAGGTCAGACATAAAGCAAGACCCTATCTCAAAAATAACCTACACAGAAAGGACTGGCAGGCTGGCTCAAGTAAGGGAGCGTCTGCCTAGCAAGTATGAGACCAAGTTCAACGTCCAGTACTGTAAAAAAAAAAAAAAGATTACTTTGAGCTAAAAAGCTAAAGTCAATTTAAAAAACACCAATGGAAGAAGGGCATTCTCAACAAGGGCTGGAATGCTGGTTAGGATTTGCAGAGGGAAAGGAACATTTACACATTGTTAGCAGGAAAGTAAATTAGTGCAGCCATGATGGAAAGCAGTATGGAGGTTCCTCAAAAAGCTAAAATTAGAACTACCATATGATCCAGTGATACCACTCCTGGGCATGTATCCAGAGAAATGTAAGTCTGGTTACAATAGAGCCTTTTGCACACCCATGTTTACAGCAGCCCTATCTACAACAAGCTACGGAATCAGCCTATATGGCCTTCAACTGATGATCAATAAAGAAAATATGGTATACATACACAATGGACTATTATTATATAATTTGCAGAAAAATAGACGGAACTGGAGATAATTATGTTAGTGAAGCTAGTCAGGTTCAGAAGGACAAAGGTTGCATGCTTTCTCTCACATGAGGAATCCAGATCTAATATGTGTGTCACACACACATATATAAAACATGACTGTAATTGTGGGACTGTAAGGGGGAGAAGTGGGAGGGGAAGAGGAAAGGAGAATGATAAGAGGTGAACAATATCAAACTACATCATATGTATGTATGAATATGGCATAAGAAAACCCCATGTTTCTCTCAGTCATGTCTCAAGACCAGCCTCAGTCTAAGAGCTGTACTGCCACCAACTATGGCAGCTGAGGCACTGAAAACTAAAGATAAAACATCTTTCTACTAGAACAACTAAGAAAAGAGTCTTTGTAGTCTGAAGAGTATGGGGAGAAAACTTTTTTTCTTTCTCCTTTCTCAACTCTCTGCCTTGAAGGCTGCCCCAGTTGTAGGGAACTGCTTTAATGAGAAGGCTACCACTCTGAGACAAACCAGTCTTTGTGGTCATATGAAGCAGCAAGTAGGTAAAGGGAGAGAAAGTTTAAGAATCCTGGAAAAAAGAGAAGGAAAGGGGATGGATGATCCAGTGTTAAGTCCTAGGCACAATCCAGAGCTATCCACATGTGGAGCAGACCCAAAGCATAATGAAAGGCTTAGAGAACTGAACTATGATATTCACTACTGCCCAAGTCCCAGATTAATCAGCAAGTGAACATGTACCAGACAGACTCAAACAATGTAAGGAAGACTGATGTAAGCATCACACATAAAAGCCAAACCAAACGTGCAGTCTGAACCTAGTCAGACTGACTGCCCGTGAAAACAAAATCAATTTTAACAAGGCCAAGAATCTACAACATAATATTTAAAATATCCGGAATAGAATATAAAATTATTCAACATGAAAAGATTCCTTAGTCCTTAACTCTGGCATTGGAATTACAAGACAAAAACTTTAAAGCAGCCATTATAATCATTCTCTTTTAAGACAAACACTAGTCGAATGAATGGGAAGGTTGAAATTCTCAGGAGAGAAATAGTAACGTAAGAGAACCAAATGGAAATTTCAGAGGAAAAAAATTTATGATAAAAAAAATTGCAAAATGCATCAGTTCAAAAACAGAATGGAGATGACAAAGGAAAAATCAAGTGTATGTAACCAGGTATGGTGGAACATACCTGTAATCCCAGCACTTGGTAGGCTGAGGCAGCAAGAATACAACTTCAAGGCCACCGTAGGCTACATAGCAAGGCTCTGTCAAAAACAAAACAGAATAAAATAGTATCCTGAAGATACAGAATTAGAAATTATAGTCTTAAAAACCAAGAGAAAAAAATTTTTAAACATGGACACTTGGGCCAGACATGGTGGCACACACCTGTAGAATCCCAGCTACTCAGGAAGGCAGAGATTAGAAGGAATTCAGTTCAGGGCCAGCCTGGGCAAAACAAAGCTAGCAAAACCCCATTTCAACCAACAAATGAGGCGTGGTGATATTCACCTACAATCCCAGTTATGCAGGAGACACAGATAGGAAGAACACAGTTCAAGAACAGCCCTGTGCAAAAACATGACACCCTATCAAAAAAAAACCTGAAAGCAAAAAAGGACTGGGGTTGTGGCTCAAGTGGTAGAGCACCTACCTAGCAAGCACAGGCCCTGAGTTCAAAAAAACAGCACCACCACCACCAACAACAAAAAAATGGAGCTCAAGGAGCTGGGAGACAATAGCACAAAATCTAACATCCACATCATTAAAGTATCAGGAAGAAATGAGAAAGTGATTCATATAGAAAAAAATATTTGAAGAAATCATGCCAGAAAACTTCCTGCATTTGGTGGAAGACATGAATGTACAGATACAAGAAACTCAGTGAACCCCAAGCAGGAAAAGTATGCCCAGACACATCATAATTAAACTGCTGAGAACCAAAGATAAGAAAAAAATGTGGAAAGTGAAAAGACTGAGACCAGTAATTCAAATGGGGTGGGGGGCAGAGCAACAAAGGGATGAGAGTTTTTATGGTGAAGGAACTGTTCTGGATCTTGATTTTGATTATGAGACCCTCATGCATTTGCTAAAATGCTCCCTTGTATACTAACAAAAGCATTACTACTAAATACAGAAACCTGGATATCATCCTTTACCTCCTCCCACTGTCATCCCCTGTATCTAATTAAGCACTATCTCCCCCCAAATTCACTTTCTAAAAGTTTCTCTAATTTACCCTCTCCCTCCGTACCCACTGTTTCTTCCTAGCTGAACACTCAACATGTCAGGCTTTGGCTACTTTGATCCCAAACCTAATCTCTACAGTCTTCTTTGCAAAAGGGGACTCTTGCAAAATTCCTATCAGTTTTAAATTGGAAGTTTGTTAGCAATGTGGAATCTTAGCCTTTACCCCAGAACTCCTGAATTGGAACCTACAATTTAACAGGATTCCAGAGTGATTCATAAGTATATTAAAACTGGAAAGCCTAGTGTAGGGAGCATCAGAGGGAACAGAAATCTGGTTGTAATGGTCCTACACTTACAATCTTCCAAGCACCCTATAAGGACACGAGGTCTGGCATGGCCTCACCCTAGCCTCCTCTGTCACCACTCCGTAGCTCACATTTTATCATTTTAACCATTTGTACATTCCACAACACTGCACCATGCTACGCCTTTGCCCGTGCAGTTTCTTGGCCAAAAAAACCCAACCTGTTCCGCACCTGGCCAATTCTAGGCCACCTCCAGGCTTCTCCTGAGAAGGCAGCCCTGCAAACTCTGACGACCACCTGGACCCTGCGCCTCCCCGATGAGCCTGGCCCTGCCGTCCCACGCTGCAGCCGACGTCTCTGCTCCCTGGCCCCACGCCTTCTCAACGGCAGGGCGCGCTCTGTGCCTAGCACATGCACAAGACAGACGGGATGAACTGAAAGCCCACGTCTTTTTAATTCTTTTAAAACCAGTTTTCCTGTCGCACGTCCCTTTCCTGACTGACGTTCTGCCAACCATCCCTAGCCCGGAGCTGAAGGAAAACTCCCGACTTCTGACCCAAGGCTGCTGGGGCTGTGCAAAAGGACATACAGCCCCAGCCCAAGGGGAAAGGCTTTGTTTTTCCTCCCGGCTGGGGTGGGGACAGACAGCGAATGCTAATTTACCAGTTCTCTCCCCCCGGCCCCCCGGGCTGTCCTCCAGGCTCTGACCCCAGGCGCCCGCTCGCAAGCGCAACCATCAACCAACCCCTGACCGCCTCAGGGGGCCTGGCGGACGCTGGGTCACCTTCTCCAGGGCAGCTCGTCCTCCTGGTCGCTCTCGGTCACCGACCCCTCAATCACAGTCTCATCGCTGTCCCAGCCTGGGGTCTGGGCACCTCTTTCCATCTTTGCCTCGCACTCAGGGTCTTTATTTTACTCTCCTTCCTCAACTTCTCCTTTCCCGTGAGCAAAAGGACGCTTTGCGGGACAGAAGAAATTCAGAGTTTAAAATAACAAAACCCGTGTCAAGAGCCGGGCCTGGAGGGGCAACTGAGGGCACCGAGGGCCGCGAGCGTCGCGGGGTGGTCGAGCAGCAGACGGTCCCTCTCCGCCTTCGCGCCCGCGTGGCCAGCAGGGTGCAGCCGCGCGCCACGGGCCACAGCCATGCACCGCCTACGCCCCGCCTGCGCCCCGCCCCCTCGAGCCCGCGGCCGGAAGTGGTGCGCGGCGCGCGCTCGGGGCTTCCGGCCGATGTTGGGTGTGGTGGTCCCGCGCTGTTGCTGTTCGCAGTTTCCCGTCAGCGTTCGCTGGGTGGCGACAGAACTGGGCTTGTTGCTTTCGGGACTGAGGAAGCAGCACTGCCGCACACTGACCCCAGGCCGAGCCCGCATCGTCACCTACGCTGTCCCTGACGCTGTGACCTGGATCGGATCCTTTATACTTCTGCCGCCGCCGCGGCCCCCGCTCCCAGTTCAGCGCTCTGAAACCAGACGTGATCGTAGACCCAAAGAGCCATGCTAGCCCTTTCCTTCACCGTAATCCCCTTGTCACTCCTCCCCAAAAGTAGTTTTTAGATAAGCTCATCTAATGGATGTATTCTGTATTTTCCCCTCAACTTAAGTTATCCTGAAGTACAGACTGTGTAGGAAAGAGAGTATAAATGCTTTTTCCCTTTTTTTTCAATTTTTAGAATAGTGATGCCTTAGCAACCTCCAAAAATAATCTTAAGTACTAGAATTTTATATATTTGATGTGTTGCATTATTTTACGAAAGTTTTAATTCAAACTACAGTAATAAAGGACATTTCAGTCAATAAAGATTTATAACTGGCTGGTGAGGACCTTGGTCAGCCTGTGTAGGTACAACCTGTGATATTAGCACAATTTCAGAATTGCCCACGAGAATGTGTCTCCATGGTGAAGCTCTTCATGGCTATGACCTAAAACAAAGCCAGATGGTCTACCTGCCAAGTGAGAGGAAGACTTAGGACAAGGTTGAGCTCCGTTCCCTTCAGTAACAAGTATTGCATTTAGTTTTCACTCGGCATGTCTACAGTCTAGCTACATAGTAAGTGTGAAATAGGGTTTTCTGAATCCCCAGTTTGTTCCCCTTTGCACTACCTGGAGTGGCTTTGTCCTTATTTTTTGTTTTTACTGTTTAGATCATATTTAAGCCACTGCTGTTTAAAACACAGGGTTGGTGGCTGTCCTTTAAACTTTCCTTTTAAAACATTTCTCACCTCAGCTTCATAAATAGGGAGAACGGTAATAAATACACAAAGTACAAGACCTCTGAGGCTCTGCATGGTATCCAGTCCTGTAATCCAGCTACTGGGGAGGTGAAGGTAGGAGGAACCCAAATCTAAGGCTAGCCTGAACAAAGTTAGGGAGAACCTATCCCCAAAACAAACAGAAAGCAAAAGGGCTGGGGCTGTGACTCCAGCAATAGAGCACTTGCATGAGGCCCTGAGTTCAATGGCCATTATCAGAAAAAAAAAAAAAAAAACTAGATCTCTGTTGTCTTCACATCTGTTCACCTATGTCCTCCATATTTAACACATAAGTTCTCCGCTGTCCCACACACTTTTGATCATCCTGCTCTAGTTTTCTTTTTTTTTTTTTTACTTGGCCGCACTGGGGTTTAAACTCAGAATTTAAGGCTTGCTAGGCAGGTGGGTTTACAGCTTAAGGCACTGCACCAGCCCCTTTTTATGGAAAGGAGACCCTTTACAGATAGTCTCCAGAATTTGCCCCAGGGCTAGCTTCAAACTGTGATCTTCCTGATCTCTGCCTCCTGTGTAGCTAGGATTACAGGCGTGAACCACCTGTGCCCCGCTTCCTGTTCTACTTCCACAGGAATGGAGGGCACATTCTTAGCAAAGGTTAGTGGGCGGCTCCAGACGCCCTAGACCAACAGGTGACTTCCACTGGTGACAGCACTGGCTCCAAGCATCTCATAACTTTTAAGCTAAGTATAAAAAACTTCTGAGCCTGAAATTAAAATTAAAATTCCATTTTAAGATGCTTTTTCTTTCAGTAGAAAAAGTCAATTTTTTTTTAAGTCTTCAGTTCTTTTGTTCAAGAGAGCTTCTAATAGTCAAAGCATAAAGAAAAAATGGCGGGATGAGCCTCATAAATGCCTGTGTGATTGTAAAGAAAAAAATCACAATTTTAAAAATCAAATTTTAAAGAAAAATTTTATGTTTTTGTAAAATTCAAAGTTTTATACAAAACAGATGAAAAAATGGACAGGATATTTGTGTCAAGAATTAATGCTGTGCCAGGAGTATGACTTATGCCTGTAATTCCAGCTACTGGGAGGCAGGAGGCGGGGAACTGAGACAGGAGGACTGCAGTTGGAGGCCAGTTTAGGCAAAAGTTAGCAAGACCCTATCTCAAAAACAAACTAAAAAGGCAAAAAAGACTGAGGGCTCAAGTGGTAGAGCACTTATCTAGCAAGTGCAAGACCATGACTTCAATCCCCAGTACTGCCAAAAAAAAAAAAAAAAGTGAATGGATCAGGCTGACAACCTACTTATCAATCCTAACCTCTCAAAACCGAGACAACCAGATACATTCCTTTCTGGTTTAATACAGTAGGAATACATACATTACCAGTAAGTATTCTAGGCCAAAAAAAACTTTTAAATTTTGAATATAATCAAATCTCTAGACCTACCTACCATTATGTATATGGAGAGAGGAGTGTAGAAAAATTTGCAAAACAACATCAAAAGGATAAAATTAACCAAATCTCGAATTTAGAAAATTTTATAGGACAAGTAAGTTGGCTTCTTTTAGCTATTAAATATTATGGGATAAAAAGGAGAGCATGGGAACTCTTAAAAGAGACTAAAGAAGGAAAAAAATTTAAGCAGTTCAAAAAGGAAAATAAGAGATGACAGAGTGGCTCACGTGGTAGAGGACCTGCCTAGCCTAGCAACCATGGGGCCACCAAAAAAAAAAAAAGGAAAATGGGTTGATAATATAAATGCTAATAAAGAGTACATTAGCCAGAAAATCCAGAGAAAAGCATTGTATCCTTTTTACACTGTCAATCAGAGATTCTCCAAAGAATAATGATTATTTATTTGGGAGTAGCAATAGGAATGCACATGCCATAGTATATGTGCATACTTAAAGAGATTGAGGCATGGGAAAGTTTTAAAAGGCAAAAATGAGAATTACAGAAGATATTTTGAAACAATAATCCTTTGTCACAAGGATCAGTCACAAAGGAGGTGCCAGTCTGAGGCTGAGCAGATAGTTGCTAGATAAGATGTCCTCCCAGAAATAATTCTTGTGTAAGTTTGCAGTGGCCTTAAGGTTATGGTTCTAGAGTCTCTTTTGTGACAGTTACTATCAGGAAAATGTGCATGATAACCACTCCTTCATAACCTTTTGGCCTGCTTTGTTTACATATGTATGTATTCATTCATTCATTCATTCATTCATTATTTGTTAGGTTTACTCAAGCAACTCCATTTTAATTCTGACAACTTTCACCATTCCAAGAATTATTTTTAATTTTAAGCCAGGAAACAGTGGCTCACACCTATAATCCTAGCTACTCAGGAGGCAGAGATCAGGAGAATGGTGGTTCAAAGCCAACCCTGGGCAAATAGTTCTTGAGACTCAGTCTTGAAACAAACCCATCACTAAAAAGGGCTGGAGTGACTTAAGTGGTAAGAGTGCCTATGTATCAGGTCCTGAGTTCAAACTCCAGTGCTGCCACAAAATATATTTTTTAAAAATTTTAAACACAAGGCAAAATAAAATTAATTTAGGTTTTGTCAAAATTTGGATCTTTGAGGAATAGTATTGTGCATTAAGTTTATAAAATTAAACCAAGTAATCTTTAAAAACTATAATTAAGTTTTAATTGCTTGATTTCATTTAGGCTATAAATTAGGCTATACTTCATATAAGAAAATTTTCCCATCTGGAAATTCTTTATTCCTTGTAAAGGTGAATTAAAATACAATGTTAGCTCTACTACCTCAGATTTACATTAGGAAGAAAAATCCAAAATTACATCCAATATCACGTGTGCTAAACAAACACTAGTGAAACTCAATGCCCCAATGAAAATCTAAGACTATGGGACTTAGCTTATTGCCTCCTTCTGATGGATGAAGCACATAATACACATGTAAATGAATAAATAAGATATGTGCCTCGATGAAAGAGATAGGTTGCTGAGATAGAGAACATGATTAGAGAAGGCCTCTCTGAGGAGGTGACATTTGACCTAAGATCTAAAGCATGCACACTGAGGGCAAAGGCTCTAAGACAACATAGGCAAGCACCTTATGGGCCTGGAGGTAGGGAAGTAAAGAGGAGAGGAGAGTGGTATGAGATGCGGCTCCAGCACCAAGCAGGAAGTAGATTATGTACAAGGTATAATGTAAGGACACTCATTTGGAAATGTGAAATTTGAAAAAGTGTGGTTATACAAATATCTTGCTTTTATAATTAAGATTAAAATATCTTCATATCACTTATACCTTATACAATTTAAGTCCGTCAGCTATATGATGTGAAACTGTCATGGGAGGTTTGATTTAACATAATTATAATACAGCATGAATCTCTAAGAGTAAATCCAGCAACCACATTTCACCTGAGTAATAGTATTTCTCCCCCAAATAAAGCTATATAATGCATTTCAACAAGTATTCCATGATAAGTATTTTAAAATGCATTTTCCAAAATAACCTGCATTTTTCTCAATGGCAAACATTTTATATGTGTTTTTTAAAAAAGTTAGCCAGGTACAGTGGCCATGCCTATAATCCCAGCTATTCAGGAGGCTGAGGCAAGCAGGAGTATCACAAATTCAAGGTGAGCCTGGGCAACATAGTAAGACTCTGTCTAAAAAAAAAAGCTACTTATCCATTAACCCAGCCCAAGAATTTTACATGGTATTCAGCAAAAATTAAAACTGTTGTGTAACCTAAAAATCAGGATACAAAAAACTCAAAAACTACAAATGTGGGAGTGCCCAAAAGCAAGTTTTATATATGACTGGTGTTGGTTCAGTACCTAT